AAAAAAAAAAAAAAAAAAAAAAAGCACTTGTTATCCTTTAGGTAATAGGCTTTTTTTAAAACCAGTATATATAACAAATTTTCCAGTTTCTGATATTCCTTGATAAGTCAATGACGAATTTTCTATCTTCTTAATTGTGTTTTATCATGCTTTAATCTGTTTTAGTTTGTTTTGTTATGATTTGGCAGAGAATTTCTTGAAATTTCACTTATTTTTTTGACGCAACCGGATTTTCGCAAGTAAAAGTCCCTCTCATTCATCTCTTTGATATTTATAATATGGCTACAACAACATAACTTTTAGAGTAAACAGAGATAATGATTTTACATTCATAATTTAGTTCGTTTCCGCTACTGAGTAAACATAAGTAAACATTTAACAACGAGAACTAGCATATCAGTGTTTTACACATACTATTTTGTGAGTTTTACTATAATATACTGTTGTGAAACACATTGTTTAAGAGTAGTGGTGGACGCGTTTCTATAAACATTTACATCTCTCTCAACTAATTCACAATCATTATTATCGAAAGATAAAGAGATATAAAAGAGACGTTAACAAATAGTACATAACTAAGCAGTTTATTACTTACCCTCTATTTCCTTTCAAATCGACGTCCTTAACTACATTATTGATAGTTATTGTTGGTTTTTTCAGTTCACTTTCACTAAATTATTTATTGCATCTGTGTGTGTTTTCTCTTCTATAAGACTTCATTAGCCTTGAAATATAACCTAGAAAATGTCTGGGTATCACAGAAGATCATATCAAGCACCTCCAACATCTTACAGGAATGGTTATACGCAAGACGGTTACTACCAGAACAAGCCATACGGTAGAAATGCATATGACTCAAAACCATCGCATCAAAGCTTAGGTACCACCAGATATGATAACAGATCAAGCCATCAGACATCTCGTTATTTGAATGTACCATCATCTAGATATTCTAATGCACCAGTACGACCTGATGTTGCTAGCAGTTCTGTGAATCATCGGTCCATTAAAGATAGCTATAACAGACCGAATCCGATTCTTAAATATCAATCTGATTTCTTTAAACCTAAATACCATTATTTTGATCCGATATCACAAACGTTGACCCACAAGGATGAATTTCAATCATGGAACGATAAAAGTGAATACCCGAAGGATGGCTTTACATTACAACGGGACAATACATTGATCACAGGTAATAAACAAGTCAAACATATTAAAGTACCAAGACGTCCCGATCTATTAGGTGAAGATCCACGTAGCTCACATTTAGGTCAAAGTAAACCCTCTATGAGGAAAATGAGAACACAGCTAGTAAAACTGGGTCGTATCACCTATGATAAATATTCTGTTGGTCCTCCACCTATTTGTGAGATCATTGTATACCCTGCATCTTCAGTTACTTCCATTCAAGAGATCCTGATTAAGAACCATTTTAGAAAATTTGGGGAAATATCTCATTTTGAAAGTTTTAATGACCCAAATAATGCATTGCCATTACATATCTATTTAATAAAATATTCTAGTCCAGAAGGTAAGATAAATGATGCTGCAAGAGCAGCTTATATGGCAACGAAGAGATATGAAAATGAAAAGTGCACAATCATGGGTTCTAATTTCAATGTCGCTCTAAACAAAAAAGCTATACTAGAATCAGTAAAGGCAAAATTTATAACAGAAAATAAAAAAATGTTGGATAAATTGAAACAAGAACAAGAGAGAAAGGAAAAAATAAACGCTATTAAAGCCATCCCTTCTGCTTCGAAGCTTTCTTCTTCTTCCATTGATGGGAAAATCGCTACATCGAAGAATGTTATATTAGATATTGATGATGCAATCTACAGAAAGTATTATAACACACAGGACAAAAGAGTGCCTCAAGATATTTTGCAATTAGTGAACCAAAGACCTTGCTTGTATATTCCGAAGAGGTTTAATGTAGTTAATGGGTTTCGAACAGAAAATTATAGATATAAAATGAGAAATTATAAGTATTCAAGATTTATTGATCATAGCACAGGGATATATATTGTATTCAATGATTTGAAAGAGGCAAAAAGATGTTTTGATAATGAATCTGAAAAACTCCTATTACCCTCTTTAACCAAAAGGATTTCTGTCACAGTGAAGTTTATATTGCTAAAGGCAACACCAAATTCTGTCGGGAAAAGATTTAATACTATGTCAGGTAAAAAACAAACTTCTGAGTCAAAAGTATCATATCAATCAAAGGATGAGTTAATAAATGGTGCTATGAAAATTATCATGGCCGATTTGGAAAAAGCTCTTCATTTAGATATTAAAAGAAGGTTAATCGGGCCTACTATTTTTGACTCACTTAACGCTGAGAATTTCCCTGATCTGTTGGAACGTAAAAAGCTTAAAGATGAGGAAAGGAAAAAAGTTATTGCAGAAAAGAGGGCCAAAGAAGAAGAGAGTCGTAAAGAAGGTAACAAGGAACTTGATATTTTTAATCTATATGGTGCACATTCTAACAAAAATAGAATTAAGCGTAATTCGTATGGAAGCGATTTTACCAGAATTCCAAAGAGGAAGCAGACGGCAATGGATATTACTCCCATGGCTCATTTATTAAATGAGGATAGTACTTCAAAGGAAGGTACACCTCTGTCGACTGATGAAAATATTCCATCCCATACTTCTGAAACCTCGTTATCTGAATCATCTTCGGAAGAGGAGCAAGAGGAGCAAGATATAGAGCCAAAACTTAAGAAATCAAAATTGGAGGAAGGCGAAATTACTCCTGAGTCACTTTCTGATGCAAATGAGGAGACCATTGAATCTCCGGAGAATGTTATTAATGAAATTTATCAACCAAGTATGACGGAGACTCCTGTACCAGTTTATGAAGAGAAGGTTACCGATATATCAAACGTAACTCCTTTTGTTATGCAGGAAATTACAAAGGACGATGAGGATATCAAATTGTTGATGAAAGTTTTGGGAGTTGAGTCAAAAATTGAAGAAGCAACTTCATTAGAAAGTTCATTAGTTAATTATGAACTATGGAAAATGAGAAAAGAAGAAAGCAATAAAAGATTTATAGAGGAATCACAACTCAAACTAAATGACAATATTAAGATGAGTTCTGAATTGCAACATCCTGGTATTTCATTCAAGGCCCGTGGTCACGTTTCGGTACCAGATGCCCTCAAATCGACATATTTACCTCACCGTCGTAGAGCACATAAACCATTGAATACTGTTTATACCCACGATGGCTTGAATGCTGACAAGTTGGACGATCATGATGATTCCCCTGAAATAGTCGGTAATAGTGAAGAATTATTAAAGAAGGAAACACAAGACGTTGCATCTTTAGGGATAGAAGTATCGTCCTCTAGAGAAAATAGAGCATCGAATAGAAGATTCCAACAAGACATTGATGCGCAAAAAGCTGCAATCGGTACTGAATCAGATTTATTATCATTAAATCAACTTAATAAGAGACAGAAACCAGTAACGTTCGCTAGATCAGCGATTCATAACTGGGGTCTATATGCTTTGGAGCCTATTGCTGCCAAAGAGATGATTATTGAATATGTTGGTGAACGTTTAAGACAACCTGTCGCAGAAATGAGAGAGAAAAGATATTTGAAGAGTGGTATAGGTTCCAGTTACTTATTCAGAGTGGATGAGAATAACGTTATTGATGCAACAAAGAGAGGTGGTATCGCAAGATTTATTAACCATTGTTGCGATCCAAGTTGTACTGCGAAAATCATTAAAGTTGGAGGTAAGAGAAGAATCGTTATATATGCACTAAGAGATATTGGAAAAAATGAGGAACTTACATATGATTACAAATTTGAAAGAGAAACGGACGATGATGAGAGATTAATATGTCTTTGTGGTGCACCAAACTGTAAAGGTTATTTGAACTAGGTCTTAGGTATGCAACTCAGTTGTTACCGAAATTAACTGTAAGTAGCATTCTTTTCCCAAGAAGTGTTTTAAATATGTAAATATATATGATTTGGTCATCTATAATAAATTTAAATCTCGATGGAGAGTGATCCTTAAGTTTGCTTGTACCGTCTCGTCTTGTTTAATATGGTTGGTTATCGGACCAGCTGCGAGGTCGTTTCAAAGTTGTTCTAAATACGCGTCGTTCTTCGAGGGTCGCGAAATTTCAAGTTTTGTATATTTAGATGTGATTAAGCAGGTGAAAATTTTGATTTACGTAATGAGGTCATCACAAACTGATTAAAAAGAGTAAAAAAGTGCTAATTTGGATTAGTTCGCTGCATTATAAGAAGTAGTTTATTCTCTTGCTGAGATTGTTTGAGAATGATATGTCGTTCAATATTATATCGAAGAATTTTGGTGCGATCATCCAGGATTAGACTGTATAGCACTGACGTTGCTAAAACGAAACCACCTCAAATAACCACCATCAGAATAAACTTAGATGATTTGAAAAAGAATATCTCTGATGACTCTACACTTTCTAAAAATGACGAGTTTGAAAAAAAAGTCGATAATGATAAGAATTTATTGCCACCTTCGCTTAGACAAGTAAGAAAGATCATGGATGTTCATAAAAATCATGTAGTCCTCACGCAAATGGGTTCATTCTATGAGTTGTACTTTGAACATGCAACACAGTATGCTCCCAAGTTAAATATTTCTTTGACAAGTAAGAAATATAGCTCAGGGAACGTTCCTTTCGCTGGATTTCCTTTAAGCCAATTGAATAGACATTTAAAACTGTTAGTGAACCAACTTGGATATAGTGTTACCATTGTAGATCAGTTCCAGAATAACACACCCATAGATAACGATCCAAACAAATTTTATAGAAAGGTATCAAGGATAGTTACTCCTGGTACATTTATTGATGAGGCATTTGAAAATTTTAGAGAAAACTCCTACCTTTTAAATATTGAGTTTCCATCCAATTGTATGAATAGTTTAGCTGATCCAGATACAAAAGTTGGACTTTGTTGGTGTGATATATCCACTGGTGAAATATTCGTACAAGAAGTGCCATTAAAAGATTTGATATCTGCAATTACTAGGATAAAACCGAAAGAGATTATCCTAAATAACGAATTATTCAAATATAATATTGAAAATGGAGAATGGTATCCCGAACTTGTTGAGTTAAAGAAATATTTTGTTAAGTTCCAAACGCTTCCTGCACAATATCATACTGTGGATACTTTTTCTAATTTATTCTTTAGTGGAAACAATGACCACATGAGACGTCAACTGGATCATAAAATGAGATCATTTACGCAGAAGGAAATTGCATCATTAAGGAATATCTTAGAGTATGTTCAAGATCATCTACCTGATTGTTCTATAAATTTTCAACTTCCTGAACGACAATCCACAACGTGTATTATGCAGATTGATTCAAGGACCAACTCTGCATTGGAGTTACACTCTACAATTATGAATAACGGCATAAGGGGCTCTCTGTTATCTACAATTAGAAGAACAGTGACTCCATCTGGTACAAGGTTGTTGTCAAAATGGTTATCTGCACCTTCTTTGGATATAGAGGAAATAAAAGAAAGACAAACTCTTGTCGGACTATTTAAGAGGAATTCATCATTTAATAATACACTAATAAACCAACTTAAAGAAATAAATGATTTATCTAGAATATTGCAGAAATTTAACTTTGGTAAAGGGACTGCTATTGATTTGATACAAATATCGAAGTCCTTAAAGACAACCTCTGAAATATCAAGAATGATGATAACTCGTTTACCAAAATTAAAAAAAAAAGAGAAAGTCTTACTACAAAAACTAATTGATCAGTTAGCATTTGATACTTCACTTATAGATAATATTCTGGAATCCATAAACGAGGATAAACTAGTTTCTCAACAGAAATCATCAGATACTAGTGAAGGTATAGAATCTCAAGATATCGAGAAAAATATGCCCCAAGATGAATCAAATCGAGAGATATTAGATACGATTATTCCTCCTGGATATTCGCCATTACTACAACAGTACCATGATGAATATTTTTCTAATCTTGAAAGTAAGGATAGTTTTGAAAGCTCCTGTTCTAAATATCTTATTGATACATTTGGGATTAGAAAAGCAGTATTGAAGCAAAGACAAAATAGTACATATGCTTTATTAGTTAACGGATCTCCTACATCGCTAGGTAAACTAGATAGTTGGTTATATGAAAATAATGATTTTAAAAATGCAAAGTTTCATATACTACAAAAGTCGAACCAAACTCGTTGGTTAGTACATTCCGGATTAACTGATAGAGCTTCTAAGATAGAGCTATCGTTATTGAAAATAAAGAAAGAGGAAGAAAATATATTGAATTCATTCAAAATTCAATTATTAGAAAGGTGCCATGAAATTAGGATAATTAACTCTGCATTAGCATATATAGACATATTATCTTCCTTTGCTAAATTGTCAGAAGAGAAAAATTTAACCTGTCCTAAGGTTGATAACAGTTTAGAGTTAGAGATTATTAAAGGAAGACATTTAATGGTTGAAGATGGGATAACAAATAAATATTTACAAAGGTTTGTTTCTAACGATTGCATCATGAATCAAGGTGACATCTGGGTGATAACGGGGCCTAATATGGGTGGTAAATCAACTTTTTTGAGACAAAATGCGATAATTGTCATTCTAGCACAAATTGGATCTTATGTTCCTTGTGAGAGTGCACATATTGGATTGGTAGATAAAATTTTCAGTCGTGTTGGTTCAGCAGATGATCTTTACAATGAACTAAGTACATTTATGGTAGAGATGATCGAAACATCATTCATTCTTCATGGCGCTACAAACAGATCATTGGCAATATTAGATGAGATAGGTAGAGGTACAAGCGGTAAAGAAGGCATCAGTATAGCTTATGCTGCTATGAACTTCATGGCAGAACAAAACCAATGTCGGACCTTGTTTGCTACTCATTTTGGGGAGGAGTTGAATAATTTAATACAGAGGAGGCCAGGTACAATTCTGAGTAAAAAAGTGAAATTTTTCCAAAGCAAGATGATAGAAATTGATAGAGTCAAATTTTACTATGATTATAGAATGGTTCCAGGAATCTGTACCAAATCAGATGCTATTAAAGTTGCAAGATCAGCAGGGTTCCCTGAGAGTGTGCTTGAAGAAGCTGAAAGGATCCTAGCTGCAGGTTGAAACAACTTTTTAGAACTTCCTTTTTTGCCTTGTAACATATATATAGTTGTCATGTACCTAGTATATTTTAGTATGTCAGTTAATGCATATAAAATTGAGGGGAATAAAGTATTATTACACTACTACCCCAAATGTAATTGTTTCGAGTTATTGATGAGAAAGTTGGTTCTTCTATTTGACTCAAGATCCCCTTTGTTATGCTATTTAGATATTCTATTTTTTTTTACTGTCAATGAGAGCTGCGTGAAAAAAAGTGAGAAAATGTGTGCATAGTTAATACTTCGATGCTCTCTTTAATTTATAATGTACTACTTAAATGATTAGTAATTACAGAAATAGAAGAGGAAGTTGCTACTGAGAAGAGAATATTGTAAATAATTTAGGAATAAAAGCATATATTACATTGCAGGCTTGAGACTAGTTTTTATTTGCGATTTTAATAAAGTTTATAAAGCCATAAGTTAAGTAAAATTATAACAAAGAAATGTCCGAATATTTGAATGATAACCCAGATGTGTTAGAGGTCGATGAACTTCCATCTAGAAAAGAGGACAACAACGAACACCTATTCGAAAATTTCGGTTCTCAAGAGGCCTTACAAAGAAAGAAGTTATTATTAAAGATAGACCATTCGCCTACTTCTCAAGTATTACATAATATTGAGTTATTAGATAAGTTACTTCTATTGAATAGCACCCCAGATTTGATCAGTGATAATGAGAATTTACTTACAGAAAGTGATTCTGATTTGAATGATGAAAGTATAATTGGAGTCGGTAATGAAAGTATATCAGAAGAATATCTAACTGAGCCTGCTGACCCTGTAGATATACAAGAGATATATGACCTTACAGCACATATTTGTGATCCTGAACATCCTTTAACTTTAGGACAACTTTCCATTGTAAACCTACCGGATATTGAAGTACATGACGATGGTAATCCAGAGCACCTTGCTCAAGTCATTATAAGGATTACTCCAACCATCACGCATTGTTCTTTGGCTACTTTGATAGGTCTTGGTATCCGTGTTCGTTTGGAGAGAGCCCTGCCACCTAGATTTAGAATAACGATCTTGTTGAAGAAAGGGACGCACAATAGTGAGCAACAGGTGAACAAACAACTAAATGATAAAGAAAGAGTTGCAGCTGCTTGTGAGAACGAACAGTTATTAGGTGTTGTATCCAAGATGTTGCAAACTTGTAAGTAGGTTAAGGCTAACACAGTTTGATAGAATAAAAATGTTTTGTTCATATATTTTAGAAATAAACAATAACTTGATGTCATACTATCCAAATAGGTTACCTTATGTATACACATACTTATATGTATCTTTGATATATAAATTAAATGGTTGCATTATTGCATGTGAATTTCACTGAAAAAACACGTCGAGATGGCTGTGAAATTTTCACGCTATCAAGAAAGGTCATCGCTGTTTTCGAAATAGATGGGAGGTAGCAATTTAAATAAACGAACATTTTTAGTGCAAATTCAACTATACTGTATAACTCCATTGTTCTTCAGAAGTATTGTTTTAAGTTTACATTTTCTTGTACTCCCTTTATGGTTTAACGAAATTCCTAAAAGTTGTGTAGTTTTTGTTTCACATTCGCTAAAAATTTTCCAGTTATCGTTACCATAATAGGTCATAACTGATAGAAACATCTATAAACCAAACATCTTTCATTATTGACTACTGCACAAAATGGGGTATTTTGTTCCGGGTCGTTCGATTGAGAACCTAAAGCATTACAAGTATCAAAGTGAGGATAGATCTATTGTTAGTAAGATATTTCTTAAGCCCTTCTGGAACACGTTTGTCGAAATATTCCCAAAATGGATGGCACCAAACCTTGTTACGCTGAGTGGGTTAGGGTTTATTGTAATTAATCTAATTATCACACTATATTATGACCCATACTTAAATAAAAGTATGCCACATTGGGTGTATTTATCAAACGCAATTGGTCTATTTCTTTATCAAACATTTGATGGGTGTGATGGTGTTCATGCACGTCGTACCGGACAATCTAGTCCCCTAGGGGAATTATTTGATCATAGTATAGATGCAATTAATACAACACTTTCTGCATACATATTTTGTTCTGCACTTGGTACTGGGTATGGGTATAAGATGATATATTCTCAATTTGCAGTATTGACTAATTTTTATTTGAGTACTTGGGAAGAATATCATACTCATGTATTATTCTTATCAGAAATGTCTGGACCTGTGGAGGGAATCCTTGCCATTTGTTTTGCTTATTTAGCTACCGCTATATTTGGACCAGATTTGATATGGCATACAACTTTGGCAACTTTTAAGATAAATGATCAACAATATGTTTTTGAAACGGCCGATTCTCTTCTAGTTGTGTTCACACTTGGTTTAATTATGAATTGTTATTCTGCAAGTAGAAACGTTATAGATCATTATAGAAAAGAAAAATCAAATTTGAATATGAATTTTGCAGTTAATCAAGCAATGAGAGGTTTGTCACCATACGTCTTATATGTGATAACTGTAGTTCTTATAGTTCTCGTTGAGAAAAGGTTTATTGATTTTTCATTCATCCTTTCAATTGGATCTACAGTCGCTTTTGTTGTTGGAAGAATTATTGTGAACCATTTAACAAGACAAGAATATCCAATGTACAACATTTCGATGTTTATTCCTTTATCGCAATTAATCGCTTACTTTATTACAATTAATTTTACGTCGGGCTACCGTACGGATAGTATCATTAGCGCATTATCTTGGTTAGGTTGTGGTTTATCATTGGGTATTCATGCCCTATTTTTAAATGAGATTATTTATGAATTTACAACCTATTTGGATGTTTATGCATTGACTATCAAGCATTCCAAATTTGTTTAAATAAACACACCATAAAAAGGAACTTTTGATATATTGTTCAAAATTTTAAATTTATAAATTTATTTATTAAACGTTAGACTGATAAGGGTTCCATTTTGTTTTATAATAATATATGGTGTATTATATCTGTCGATTTGTTTCAACTCACTCGTATTATCTTTGTATTTAATATTCCTCGATAGTATATATTGTTATTACCGTAAAGGGCCTAAAATTTGCAGTAGCGGCAAACTACTTGGAAAAGGAAAAAAATTTAGGGAAACATGACACAAAATAAAAATATAAACTAAAAGAAGTTTTCCCACTTCTGTTGTAATCGATCATGATTAAGATATTTCGTTTGCTTGGACCTCTTGTTGATATTACTTTCTTCTTTGGATACTTTTTTCAGTTTTGAAATTGAGGAAAAGAAAGTTTTCTTTAGTTATAAATATTCCGGTCGAGTGATAAGTCCATTGATTTTTTAAAGAACGTTATACTATTGAAATAGTTTGAGGGTAAGTTATTGATTCAACTTTCTGTCAATTTTCTCAATAAATAATTTCTTAATTTTTATTCCAAATCCTATTTTTCTTTTTTCACTATGCAAGAACAAAATAATGAAAACCAATCACCTCAAGTGATTGAAAATGAAGCAGATAGTGAATCGATGATATTAACTAAAGTTAATGAAGATGGAACTACTTCAAGCTATTTTGATAAACGGAAGCTTAAAATAGCACCAAGGTCGACTTTACAATTCAAAGTTGGTCCACCATTCCAACTATCCAATAAATTTGGAAATGTCGTTGATAAGAAGACTGGCCAAAGTGTTAATCTTAAGATAATTCCTCGTATTGATAGAGGTTTTGATAATATTGATGATGCATGGGTTGGATATAAAAGAAACTACTTTACGTTAGTTACTTCATTCCAAATTCGTAATTATTCACTTGAAAATTTTTTAGATTCATCATATCAAGTGGCATTCCTTGAAAATTTCTATAGACAGACTGCTGACATAAAATATTTTGCAGTTAAGATAAAGGCAAGAACAGATAATGAACATACAGAAATTAATTTAGTACAACATACGGCAAAGAGAGATAAGGGTCCACAGTTTGTCCCAGAATTATGCCCGTTAATTCCATCGCCTCTACCAAAACATCAGATTATCAGAGAAGCCTCGAATGTGAGGAACACAAATAAAATGAAGAAATATGATTCAACATTTTTCTTTCATAGAGATCAGGAAGAAAATAAATATGATACAGATGGTATACTTCATTCTTATCCAGATAATTGTATACAAAAAGTGGCAAGGTATGAAAGAGTACAATTTGCTTCCTCAATAAATGTCAAAAAGCCTAGTCAGCAAAATAAACATTTTCGTCTTTATGTTGTATTAGGAGCTGTAATTGAGACCAAAAATCTCGAAGGTAGCTTTAAAACAAACCATTGCGATGAAATTTCTTTTGATAACGGAGAAAAGGGACTGTTTGTGTATTTACAAGAAATGAACACTCCACCTTTAATAATCAGAGGAAGATCACCTTCAAATTATACTAGCTCTCAACGAGTGACACTGAGGACTAATTCATTGACTCCATCGGTCACAGAACCAATTATTAGTGGTATCCAAAATACAGAACAAATTGATAATGTAAAGAATATGAATGTAAATGAATTAGCAATTATTAAACAACCTGTAAAAAAACAAAAAGTAGGAAGGCCAGCTAAAAGAAAATCAAAAGTTTTGGAATTTCCAAAAGTTGATGCAACCACAGAATATATTTCTCTGTCTTTGGATACGGAGGGCTCTGCTAACAAAAAAGATGAGGGATACTGTATTTCAAGAAATACCAAGAGAATTCAAACGATCGATGAAATTGAAAAAATAATGTCTTCTCAACTATCGCTACATGATAAACTAGTTTCGTTAAAAGATTCTCAAGGAGATTTGCCATCTTTCCCTCCTCGTGAGCATAAAGTTTTTAGGGATAGACCGGCCTCATTACGGAACTTATCTGTTGATTTAAAAGACATCGAATTAAAGCCGTTTCATTGTTTACCAAAGGATGAAATGTGTACAATTGGGTCACTTGCATTAAATTTACCCACAGATGGTACTTTTTGTATTGGTTCGAGCTCTCATAAACGGGAATATGATTTGTTAGATAGTAGTGCCAATGATGATGACCTTTCACAATTTCCTGACACATATGAAGATTGGAAGCGCTGCGGAGTTAAGTCAAAAGGAGGGCTATCATCGGGAGAAATATCCTATATCTACAATGTTACGAAGTGTAATTATAAGTTTGATCGAGATGGGTCATTTGATAATACCGAGATTAGTAATATATCAAGAACTATTCCAAGAAGTATGGGAGTAACTTCGATTTGCAGTCTGTCATCTTCATCAAAAAGACGAAGTATCTTCCCAATAAGTAGTCGGGCATCAGTCGATATGATACATGTAGAGCTTAGCGATACGTCGATGAAATTTGATGAAACTAGTTTTGCATGATTCATAGTTAATTACAGAAAGAGGGCTTAAGATTATATACATATTTTATTTATTTAATTATCAATTTGCATATTTCTTGATGTATTTACTTTATGAAATATATTAATTCCAAATATACTGTTTCGACGAATATAGATATTTATGACTGTGGAAACTTGGCAGTTAAATAGTTTAAAGTAAAATATATTTGAAGGGAATAAACTGATGATTTGAAACGCTAATGGATACAAAGAAAATTGCATATATTATATATATTTTGACTGTGAGAGCCAAAAAAGAATGCGAATTCTGTGGATCGAACACAGGACCTCCAGATTTCTTGTTTGACCGAAGTTACTCTTCAGTCTGGCGCTCTCCCAACTGAGCTAAATCCGCATTTTTATATCAACGAAAATGTATGAGCTTTATCTTCTTAAAAGAATATTGGGTAACTCTCAGCTAAATTTATTGATAGTTTAATATTTAGAATATTTTCTGTTATAATATAGAAAGTAGCAATACTTAGTTCTTACAATTTTATGTTTAGTATGAAATTATAACTAACTGTTCAATATGGTTCTAGAACATTCTTTAATATGTAAATGATGGGAAAATTGAATATTAGACATCTTCTATTTAACTGAACAAATTTTATTATATTACAAAATCAACTTATAGTCGTCTGATCTTTTTATATCTTATATAAAAATATATAAAGTAAATTATGGAAACAATTATATTCATAAATGAAATATTGTTCCATTTATATATGTTGGATTATCATTGTCGTGATTATAAACTCACTCGACAGTGGCGTAAGTAATCTATTATTAAGTTGTTGCGGGATGAATCTATCAATAGATCATAACCTTCGTCATTATCCCTCTTATAATATATTTCCGACAGTAAAATATAGCGACAGCACTAAAAAGGCTAACATTAGCTTAACCTATCTGAAGGTGAAGGTAGCTAATATAAGTAGAATTTAGAGTGTGCTGCACTACCGTACATATAATAACACATGATATATACTGCATAATGTAGTATTCGTTCCCCCTACATTGGGTTTATTGGAGCTACATTGTCCAACGTTACTATGCACAAAAGATGAGCAGTTTAACAACAGCACCTCTGTTTAACATTATTAAGTAATAGTCGTTTAGGTCATAATCGTTTAGGTAACAAGAAGAAACGAAATATCGGTAAAATAAATAATATATAAAAACAAATAATTCTGAACTAACATTCGAAGTTAGATTCTATTCGTTCTATAAATTATATATAATAAAAGAGACCGATCGATTATCGTATTATAAAATGTCCGAATTAAATAAATTAAAACTTGAAGAGACTAACAGAGTCAAAGACTCAATTACAGATTCTCTACAATTATATATAATTTTCATATTGTAGAACATTTAATATCTTTATATATTATATTATGAGCTTCTTTTTATATCATTTTTTTAAAGATTTTTATTTCCTCAGTCACACCTTGCATCATCCCATGATGTCATCGAGTGATGACATATGGTGACAACTGTTATAATATAGAAAGTAGCAATACTTAGTTCTTACAATTTTATGTTTAGTATGAAATTATTACTAACTGTTCAATATGATTCTAGAACATTCTTTAAGAATGATTAGTAAGCAAGTACTACTAATTGTTTCATAAGTGTCTAGAACATGTTTCAAGAATGTTTAGTAAGAATACTATCAATATTTGGTAGACTGTTTTCCTTTCCCAAAAGTATAAAAGGAACACATATTCTAACTTTATATATATACAATCTTCCTTATATAGACTTACTTTATATAACATAAAATAAACTACAAGATTATACATTTGAATATCTATAACTATGTCTGATAATTTCAACTCGAATACTAATCGTATATTCTCGATTTCAAACTTACGTTTACAACAACTGGTGATGACATTTATGAGTGTGTGCATAAAACGTTTTCTTTACCTAAATTGAAATTAAGTGTGATACAAATCACTCCTAGTTTCTGGCAGTAACATTATTTTCGGCTGTGTTGTGACTATGTGGGTCAATAACAAAACCCTCTTTATGGCGACATAAGTCGATTGTCTTTTTAATTGTATTCTGTGTGATAACACAATTTTAGTTGTTATGTAGAACAACTGAAACTAAAATATATTTAAACTTTAATTTATAATATTTATTCTCAGGTAGAAAAATGATAACTTTTCAGTATTTAAAGATATTCAAAAAGAGTTAGGGACGTTATAATTTCCTGTTCTTGTTCATATGAAAATTCAACTCGGGTTGTCGTTATATAGAAAAAAGTAAGTTAAAAATTCGATGAGGTAAACAATATTCCTTAAGCAAATTGTAACTAGTTACAACACGAAAGAAATAATATATAAGGATCTACATACATGCAACCTGATCAGATAGATAAAAGTATGGTCACAGATATACGGCCAGTAAATGATGCGAGAAAGAAGAAGCTTACCTTTATCTCAGAAGGTTCAGCAGATATTGAGGTACAAAAGAATTCAGAGGAACGAGCACAAGAGAAATATGAAACTGAAAAACTACGAAGAACAAGAAAGTCATTAAGTGATCAATTACGTTCAAATTCTGCAAGCAAACAGAAAGCATTCAAGAATGAAGTTAGAAAAAGAGAAAAATTCAACAGACTTAGTAGAGAAGAACTTAACTTCTTTAAGGATGTGAAAGAGAAAGAGAAAAGGGAGGAAAATGAGATGGAAACATATTTAGCTCAAAAGACAGAATCCTTTGATAAGAGAAAAAGAAATGCTGAAAAGAAGATAAATAGTAATGATGAGACAGATGATGTTATAAAAAGTACGAGTGCTAATGAGCAGAACGATTTAATAAGTAATAAAGTAATAAAGAAAAAGCACAAAAAGATAAAATTGAAAATAAAAACTTTAGGTTCTAACCAAAAATAGAAGTTTGTAATCTAATGGTATAAGGATGAATAAGTTTGCCATTTAATGTGGCCCTTAGAATTTACCCATTTTGATTAAAGATTTGGGATAATTAGAAACTTCCAAATTTCTATTTAAAACTATTTAATTTTAAATATTCATTATAAAAGTAATAGCATAATGTATTGTGGGTGTTTAATATATCTTTCGAGCGTGTTATATTGAATTTCTGAATTTGAATGGAGCAACTTAGAAAATAATACATGACTTTTTTTCGAATTTTATTATTTAGTTGAGTTTGAAGCTTATTAGGATATTGTCAGAGTGGCCGCTTCAGTAAACAAAAAAACAATAGTGATAAAAAATTGGAATGACTGAAAAAGATTTGCAACATTGTGGTACATTAAGTATTAAATACTTTGAATGAACCGGTTACAAGGTTATTAACTTCAAGTACCAACATATATTATCCCTTTGTTATGTTGTAAAAATTCACTTTTATACTCCTTGTCTTGATGTAGTTTAATACCCTGTAGAGTATTTATGTTATGAAAAAACTAAAATTAACATAGATCAAACACAATATATATATATATATGCTAAATAATAATCAAAGAATAATATTTGAGGTTATTTAAGAGTAACAGAATAAACTTGATAGAGTGTCAAATTAATTGTTTCTTCAATATAAAATGAGATTACAGGCCAAGATAGAACCTTTCTTATCATCTGACTAACCAACCTTACTATCAGAGAGTCTAATCCAATTTTTCTTCCTAGTTAGTCATCTTTAAAACTACAAAAGTTCTGTTGAAATTTCTAAATTAAATGTTTCGGTAAATAGTAAAATGAGCTAAAGAAAAAGCTTTAAAGTACTCTGTATCAAAAATTGTTTTCATAAGTGAAATTCTTCCCAGTGATGTTGTTTAAACTTATTAAGTCAGGTTATTGGAAATCAATATACTCATACTCAAGTAGTTTTATGACATATTTTTAAGAAGCTTTGTTATAAAGTTGAGGATAATACTGCAAGTTGAAACCTGCCTATACCTGCAACATGATCTATTCGGACTTCACATTGTCGATCTCTATGTAAGAAATATTACCCATAACTTAATGATAGCCACCTCTTTTGTGCACCTAAATGATTGTTTGGACATTCCTTGGTATACTGTCCACTTAAAAAAAAGTGTTATATTCTCACTATGTTTGTTATTATTAAGGAGGAAGGAACCATGTATACAAATTACCCCAAATGGACTATTGTTTTGAATTTTATTATATCAATTTCCTAACTTGGCTACTAGCATATATTTATAAACAAACCTGTGAAACAAAAAGGGAGCCTAAACATTATTTGGTAATTGTGGATTTTCTTTCTTTCTTTCCTTTTTGTCTTTCGAAGTTATTCATGTCGAAGCTAGAAATAAAGATTCTTTATCGCTTAATACTTAGTTCATAACAATAACAAAATATAAGACCCTCCATTCATTAAACTATATATCTGTGTATTGTAACAAAGATACAATAAACAAGTTCATCAACAAATAGTTATAAATTGTATTTATTAAAAATAACTGTTCTATTCTAACTAATATCAATAGCTTTTTAATTAAAATTAGTGTTAAAAGTACATATATTTCATGATATATAGAAATTTATATATACCTTTAAAAATTAGGAGGTATCGAAAAAATTATAATGTTATATATAGAAATTAGAAAGAATCTTTCATCGAAAAAAGTCTATATCAATAAAAAAAGATTTGGAATGTATATTACTTTTTTTAAAAACCGGTCCATATACTTTGTTTTAAAAGAAAGTATAGCTTATAGTGGCATTAAAAAAGACTGTCTGAATAATAATATTAATAATGATAAAAATTTGTTATTATAAAGAAGCCAATTAATCGGATAGAGAACCACCGACCAATTCAGTCAAAGCATCAGATGGGAAGTAAGATGGAGAGTAGGTTGGTAGATCGGAGAAAGCACCGGAGATGATAGAACCAGAGATGGTAGTAACGTTAGCTTGAGCAGCAGCGACGGAGACAATAGCTAGTAGAGCGGATAACTTGAAGAATTGCATTTTTGTTTTATATGTGTTCTTGTTGTGAAATTGACTAAAATAAATAACTATTTTGGTTGATTGTCTTATATATTGCAAGAAGTAAAAATAAGATATAAAAGAAAGAGAGAATTGGGATTAATTAAAACAATTTTAAGCTTACCAAAATATTCTTGCTTATATATAATTTTTTCTTTTCCCACTCACAATTGGAAAAAAAAATTTACATATATTTCTTTCTTACGTTATCACAGTCTATGTTGTTGACAAGGGAAAGGACAAACTGTTCAGTAGTTGAGTAAGAAGAATCATGTTTATTATCCAAAATAAGACATGATAATAACAAGATACACTCTGTTGTCTGTGTTGAAATTCTCTTATTCACCTTTTTTGCTCTCAACCTCACCTCTTCTTGTCTCCCATACTCCAACAGAGAAAGAGAAAATTTTTCTTTTCTTTTCTATGCTATCCTTTGCTTAATATTATCTTGTATGTTTAACGGGGGGAGGGGCGACTAATTAACTAATTTGTCGTCAAGTTCGTGAATCTTTGAGTCATTCCCTTATTCGGACGCGACGGTGCTCCTTCCTCTCGCTCAATAAATTGAAAATTTTTTCTTCTCGCCTGTCGCTGTCTCCGAGTATTTGTTTGCTAAAGAAAAAATTGAACCGACCACCTGAGACTGGAGCTTGAAAACTTTTGGGAACAGAGAGAGAGGCAGGTAGTGAACAAAATGAATATATTGTGGATCTGGGAAAAAGAGAGATAGATACAGTATTCAGGCAGTAACCATAAACTTGGTACATAAAGTCCTGCAGTTAATCGTGTTTGAGATCTCATAATATTTAAAACTAATATCTGTTTTGTCAGGGAGAATCACTTATTAGTAGAACGGATTTACACGGTGGTACGTACAAGGTCTAAAATAAAATGACACGATTCATTAGGAGGTTCCTTTGAGAGCAGTTTCTGGGCCCTAAAGGTCTCTAATTTTGCTATTTTTTGGTCTTGTTATTGGTATTATTAATTTTGTTGTTATTATTTATTGATGAGCAAGAGCTGTACCGGAGGGAGTCTATTCTTGGATGTGGTATGAGGGACAATGTTTCTCTCTTTCCAAATCAGGTATTAATCTAACAAATGGATAGCAAAAAAAAATAATAATGCATCGGTTTTCATTATATATTGATGTTATTCTGCGTGTGTGAATCCTTTGTTATTCTTATTAAAACAACAACAACAATATATTTGATTGTTTATTTATTGTTATTACTACAATTGAAGCCTAAAATGAATTATATAGCAACAAAACGACTTCAGTGTTAACTCTGTAAAAACGTAACCATCATCCTTTCTCGGGAATTGTGCCAGTAAAATTATATAACTCCAAATAGAGAGATGTGTTACATAGAGTAGAATACGAGACTTAAGAGTAAAAGAGTTTTGGGTGTATGGGTATGGTTAACACTGATGTAGAATTCTTGTTCATTAAACCGCCATCTCTTAATGAACAATTACATCACCCTTGACGATGATGATGTAATATATTTCTAGTATCTTAATTGTTTCATTCCGTATTACAAAACCACTACTCTTCTTAGTGACACTTTTGAATGTTGCGGTTCCTACCTTTCCACTATTAATAACTATATAAATATTAGTATTCAATTATTTTATGAAAGGGATTCTCTATTTTTAAAAAGAACTTTCCTCAAGATGTAAAATTATCCAACCATTATTTAAGGGACTTATACCCCCTTTGTCTGAGGTTAGGGAGCGGGTATAAGAAGTCATGTCTTAAGCTATAGTACATATCATCTCCTTGCCGGAGGTACACACCACCGTTGGCCTTTTCCAACATGCTAACTTTCACCTTTGCTAGATATTTGAAATACAAAGTTCTAAAATATAACTTTCGGAGTTCACTATATAAACAGTTCCATCACCAAAACATCAAGAAGAAATCTCAACTTACAGTTTACTAATTACATTAACGCAAATCCATTTACTACATTTGCTATACATGGCCATTATTATGAGTTAATTAACTACTTTCAACCATTTCATAATAATTACGCTATGTATTATAGCCTAGTCGCTAGCTCTCGTACGTATGGATATACTATCCTTGTTAGTAGAATAAATCTCATATTTTCTCCTAAATGAGTATTGAAATATTTAACTGACCGATCTAAGGTCTGGTTGAAATTTACTGACGTTATCTATTTTTATTTTTACTATCCCTCAGTTGAGAGGAAACCACCGACGGAAATCTGAAACACGATCCCTTACGGTCGAACTACGGACTTTTCACTGTCACGCGGATCTTAGTTTCACAGTAAGTAACAAATATACATATATTATTTTGAGTATATAGACGCTACTTAGATCTGGGAGACGGTTAGGTTAGGTTGGATCTTAATTATTAAATCTATTTCTTGTACATTTAATATCATTGACTGTTCGTCTTTCGTTCTGTCTGTACATGTATTATTTAAAGCTCTAGTTTCTATTTTAAATATTTTCTTTCAAAATTTTTACAACTGGAACACGACGTACGTACATATTCTTTAAACCTGGAATTTACAATGGATTAGCTATAATTTACATATATATGGTTTGTATTTCTTAATTAACTCCTACGAAAATTAGGTGGAAGTGGTCTCGATTCTCACTGCATAATGAGAATAAATTAAATATGTGTACTCTATTAGGATATTTATTGCCGATAGCCTTACTACGAAAGCTTTTGGAATTACATTATTATTGATATTGTTGTTCTACGGTCAACGTGTAAGCTAACCTGTAGTATTTTTATTTAGTTATCCCTTGTACAGTTAATTTTACTCTATTTGATCGTGACCCAAAAGAAACATTTATTCAACTACGAGATTTCTCTTAAACACACCCGTTTCGTCTATTTGCAAAATAGTTATTATCCCAAATGGGATAAGACTTAGATATTTCTATTCCTTTCCAAGAAGTATAACGAGTTAAATAAACACCTATTACTTCTCTGTTTACACACATACATATGCCCATAAATATTCTTTTTTTTTGTTCCTTTTTATTTTATTCGTTTTGAGACAATTCGATACACGACTTTATTTTTAACCCTCACTTCTATATGCTTTCAATATATTAGGCTCCTTATTAGTAACATATATTATATTCTAAGTGTTTTCTCCATAAAAGCAAGAAAGAAAAGCTCTTATTACCGAATAATACTATGTTTACGAAATGACAAATATTTCAATTGTCAACACTTTTATCCCTCTGAGCTTAGTTTTATAATTTATCACTATCAAATTGTATAAAACGATGTCATTAATTTCGTAATCTCACAATTATAATTATCCTTGTAATCTCCGTTTTATCCAACACTTAATTGCAAGTATTAAAAAGTAGCTACCATGGGTCGTATCCAATGATTTCCAGGAGGTCGACTTCGATACCTCATAATTTTTATATGTGGTGAGATCCAAAATAATAATACTACCCAATGTGCAATACCTGATAGGAAAAAAAAACCCATGTAATTTTTCTTCATATCTCATCATCCTCACTATCAGAGAAGTCAATATCAAACGGTTTGTACTGTGCTCCTGTCTCCACAAATCTAGGTTTCACAAACGCACCATATTTATTTGGTACAGGACCAAAATACTGAATGCCTTGATAAGAACCATTATTTTTACCCAGAGGTTCGTCAAATTCTACACCACACCATAGATCCTCAACATTGATCTCAGGAACTTTCCCTAAGTATCGTAACCAACCTCTTCTTTCAGGTTGGTCCTCAGTCTTCACTGCGCATCTTTGTCCAACTTCTAGTTTATTCATTTTATCTTTATGTAGTTTTAATTCTTCATCTTTCTTGACTAAATATTTTGGATCGAAACGCCCCAATTGATTATCTTTCTTCCATCTTAAGACGCTCGATTCCCTAGAAGCGTACTCTTCCTCAGATAATTTGAATGCAACTTCACCACCTGGGTTCGACGAGTCTCTCTTCAATTGATTAGTAACAGAGCTTGCATTTGTATCCTCTACCGAAATCGCAGACACTTGAAATGAATTGATAGGTGACAAAGGTAGGCTGACACCTTGAACTCGACTAGGAACTATAATGTTGTCTTCGTGAGAATTTGTGTATGATAATCTCAATTTCATATCATTTGGTTCAACACCTGTAATAATGTTTAATTTAGTACATAACTCTGTCAATGTTATATTCGTTCTGAAAGTCTTTTGAACAGAAACTAAATCAGATGTAATAAGCACCTCAACCATCTTATTATTGAAGCAGAAAATTAATTAGCTAAATACCAGGTATTGTATCTTACAGTACATATATTCAAAAATTACAAAGAAGTACAGCTTTGTTTGATTAATTTAAATATTTGGTCTATTATTTATGTAATGATAAAATCTATTTACGGTGCGATGATGCCTTTCTCAATCTAGGTAAGAACTTTCTTTGTCAATCGCTATTCTCTCTATATTTTTTTTTCAAGCGTCCAAATGCCGAATACAGTGAGTGAATAATAATTATGAAGATAATAATATTGGGAAGACAAATTGTAGTATAAGCCAACATGAGACAAGAAGTAGAACTGCATATAAAGCAGAAAGCTGTGACTTACTGACTATAATTACATTGAAAATAAGAAGAACGAAGCATCCGAACCAACCTTTACAATGAGTGATAAAGTATGTTAACACGCATCTGATTGCAATACTATGGACCACCATATACATATATTTTGAAAAATTTAAAACCCAGTTCCAATATGTTTTGCTAATCGTAACTCCTATTTATTTCGTTTAATATTTACTAACCATAACCATTTTCCTAATTTTGGCTTTCAAAATCCGATCTAGTTGAAAACAGTGTGATATTCATATCTGTTTCAACTCTTTTTACTGGAAGGAACGCTAATACCTGATAATTTTTTATTTAGAATTCCGAACAAAATCAGCAATCTCGTCCACATTTGCAACCTCAGCAACAGCAACCTCAGCAACAATCCAGTCATAACAACCCTCAAAGGAAGAAATTTGAGAGTCCTAAGAGAGAGGCTATTGTCGACCTAAGCAAGTATAAGGATACGCAAGTTCGTGTCAAATTAATGGGTGGTCGTTTAGTAGTCGGTGTCTTAAAGGGACACGACCAATTGATGAATTTGGTTTTGGATGAAACTGTCGAGTACATGAAGAATGCAAACGACGAGGTCTCCAAGGATAAGACCAGAGAATTAGGATTCACTGTCATTAGAGGTACTATATTGGTCTCTATAAGTCCTGTAGAGGGCTCAGAGGTTATATACGTTCAGACTTCTTAATAGATTACAAAGATATATTAATTATATTAGTGTTTTCCATTACCATTTTAATTATGAGAAACTAACGTAACGACAACCGAAGCTTTTATATTACTACCTCTTTTTTTTTTCGTTTTTTCATCATGTACCACCCACCACCTTCATGCTTCAACTATGTATCATAGATTCATGTCAATGGATGTAAGTAATTTTGTTTATCTCCTTAATAAACGTGTATAATTATTTTTAAATAACCTACATTAAGACAATGAGGACTTCACTACATCACAAAATCTAATATCCTGAGTAAGACACAGAATAAGAACCACAACAGCGAATGATTACTAAATGTTGGGTACTACTACATTGATGGGCATCGAGTACTGTGAGAAGACCCACTGTATTACCAGTTGTAATGTTTTAAGTTGCAATTCAATCAGTTTCCCCATATTTCCTAAGTCCGACGGTATTTGTCACATAACGCCGTCGGATTTTACCAAAAACGCAACAAGAGAAATGAAAATTTTCACTTCGCCAGTAAAATTCAATGATGGAGGGCATCGCCGATTACTTCATTGATAGATAGATTGATAGGAACTTATTGCAATACTGGAAGAAAATTTTTTTCTTCTTTTTCCTTTCATCTCTCTTTACAATATAAAGAGATCTCTGTTACATTGTTGTTCATTGTTACGTAACTTATTTTTAAATCTTTTTAAACTTGCTCTTAATTATTTCTTTCTTAAAGAAATTGTCTTAACAATACCACAGTTTGCATAAACCAGTAACACAATGTCTACCGCACCATACAAAAACGTTTCTTTACTACCCCAAACCAACCAATTAGTAGGTCTATACTCCATCATCAGAGATAAGGCTACAGCCAGACCTGATTTCATTTTCTATTCCGATAGAATCATTAGGTTGTTGGTTGAAGAAGGTTTGAACCACCTACCAGTTGAAAAGAAGGATGTCTTGACCCACACCGGAGAGACCTTCGATGGTGTTGGTTTCCTAGGTAAGATTTGTGGTGTCTCCATTGTCAGAGCTGGTGAATCCATGGAACAAGGTCTAAGAGACTGTTGTAGATCCGTTAGAATCGGTAAGATTTTGATTCAAAGAGATGAAGAGACTGCCTTACCAAAACTTTTCTATGAAAAATTACCTGAAGACATTGCTGACAGATATGTGTTTTTGTTGGACCCAATGTTGGCTACCGGTGGTAGTGCTATCATGGCTACCGATGTCCTGATCAAGAGAGGTGTCAAGGCCGAAAGAATCTTCTTTTTAAACTTGATCTGTAGTAAAGAAGGTATTGACAAGTACCATGCTGCTTTCCCAGATGTTAGAATTGTTACTGGTGCTCTTGACAAGGGTCTAAACGAACAAAAATACCTAGTCCCAGGTCTAGGTGATTTTGGTGACAGATACTACTGTATTTAAGAAGAGAATGACGAGGAAACGCTAACGCCTTCCAAACTATTTTTTTCCATCTACCAATACAAAATACATAATCCATCGTTACTACTCGATGGAAATGAAAGAACTCATTCATGATGAGAAAGCGGATAACAAATATTAGCAGGAACGACATCACTTTGTTGTGGATTGTATATTAGCCAACTTTTTTTTGGTCCCTTTCTTTATCTCATTTAACTATCCATCATATCTTAAATAACAAGCAAATATATATATATATATATAAACAAATACATATATATATCTGTAATAAGGATGAACTTTAGTATAACCTAATACAATAACCATTATAATTTATGTCATTATTTATAATCCAAAATTGAAATGGTAATTACAGACCATAGTTAACAGGGGAGGATCTATGATGAAATGAACGATTCTTTCGATGTTTTTATTGTTATTGCCTTATTGATTAATTGAGATGACAATAAAGTTGAATTACCTCATCATATGTTGTCATATGGCACTTCCAGGGCAACGCGTTTTTTTTGCTTAATTAGAAGAGACAACACGCAGAGGCATTTTCTTTTTTAATTTGATTTTCACTCTTTTGCCTTGAAGCATGTTTCAATCGTTTGACGTTGTCACCATTATTAATCGGTTATTAAAGGTTTAATGAATTCACTACATTATATTCATGTTTCTCAGCAGGTTCTGAAATATCTTAATTGCTCTCATCTACTATTTCCTTTTGGGTGCCCAATTTGGTCTATTTTAGATTGCATGAAAGACGCTAACAAGCTTCCAATTCTAACCATTTTGTTCTCTGACAGTCGTTATAATAAAAGAAACGTTGTAACATAACATCACAGTCATGGCTCAGTTGAAGAGAAAGCTAGACATAGAGACGTCTCCCAGTGTGTCAACCACTCACTCATTTTTGCAACCTCAATATGTTTCTAATGGGAAAAGATTAAATTCTCAAGTTCCAATATACACAAAGCACTTAGTCCAACCTTATAGACGAATAAAAAAAATTGGACAAGGTAAGCATTCGATCTGTTATGAAATCATTCATCCTAATGGGAATACATATGCTATGAAAACTTTACCCATTCGTGATCATAAATTCAAAAGTAATCACATGTCTCGCATCATGAATGAAATTGAAATTCATAAATTACTCTCAAATCATAATAATATTGCCACTTTCATTGAAGAATTCCAAGTAGAACATGAGTATGTAGCTATAGTATTGAACTATTATCCCAATAATTCATTAGAGATGCATTTCAATAATGGAATCCAATTACGTGAATGGGAAGTCCGCAAACTTATGACTCAATTACTCGGAGGTGTATTTTGGATTCATGAGAATGATATAGTACATGGCGACCTAAAATTGGGTAATTTATTATTGGATGAACAATTTAATTTGAAAATATGCGATTTTGGTCATTCTTTTAATAATTGTAACAATGAAATATACACAAGAAATTTCATTAATTCAACAACATTTATATCGAATAATAATAAGATTATTGGGACACCTAATTATCTTGCACCGGAGATCATTAAAAGAATCATTAAACAAAATACCAACGATAACCTTATATCGTTTGAAGTAGATATATGGGCCATTGGGGTTATACTCTACATATTAATTGTAGGGACATTGCCATTTTTGGATGAAACATTAGATCTAATGTGCGAAAGAATATTGAATTGTACTATCGACTTCCCTCATACAAATAGAAACAATTTTGATATATCGAATGATGTGATATCCTTGATCAATGAAATACTTAAAATGAATCCCTTAGAGAGGCTTACGATACCTGAAATAATAGCGCACAAATGGTTTCAATCTTATTTCCCAGAATCTTTCAACATATATGATAATCTAAGCCTTGAAAGTTATGAAAACTCTTCCATGAATTTACAATCAACTTTAAATTTTAAAAAATGTTTATCGGATTGTGGTCTATCGAAACTGATGAAACCATTCCATAATGACAACGATGATGATAATGACAATGACGATGATAACGATAACAATATTTACGACTATAATGACAAACAAGCTGAAAGAACGAATCAATTTAAACCAGAACTAACGTCACCTCGGAAAGGGATGAACCTACTAACTGAAAGTTTTATTAATAATAATAGATCAATTGATTTCAAAAAGATCAGACTGTTCTTAACATATTTAGACGAACATTCAAATGCAGCAAAAATAGAGCGATTAAAAAAGATTAAACAATACCAACCACCCACTGTTACTTTCAGTAATCCAATTGAATTAGAGACACCTAAAAATATTCTAATTAATCATTATCAATTAACGCTTGAAAGAATCTTAGAGTATGAACAAATAGTGATGTCCTCGGGACAATTATGCCCTGAAAATCAAAACAATGATGCACAGACCGATTTTACATATGTCTCCACTAAGTATATCGATATAAATGGGGCCAATGAAGGATTATTTGTGTATCGATTATCTAGCGGTGATATTGGTACATTATTCTCCAATGGCCATACACTGTTGAAACTCTCTGATTCTAATGCAATCTGGTATTTGATTCCTGACGAAGAATATGGTTGGATATCTAAATGTTTTGATTGCAATAAATTACCAAACGAATTACAAGAAAAGTTACAGGAAGCGAATATTGCATCTAACTTGTTAAATACAAGTATTGATGGAATGGATATGGGTGGTTTATTTACAAAAGAACCAGGTGTAGAAGACATATTTGTTAGAACTATTACTACATATGAAAATAATCAAATAACTATGATGGAATTGAGTGATGGAAGTATTCAATTTGATTTTATTGATGGTGATGAGTTTTCTATCCCATTGACTTTATCGATAAGGAACTACGGTGAAAGTGTCACTCTTCTCTCCAAAGTGGAAGGTATTAAAACATTAAAAACGCTAGATTTTATTCAAAGATTTGAATGTGATAAGAGCAGTTCACAAATTAGAGATAAGTTAATGATTATTAAGAAATGTTTAAAGGAGAGAATAAACCTGTGAGATGGCACTCTATAAAAAAACTCTTAAAAAAAAGGTAATATATTTCTATATATATATACTTGAATAGATAGATTTAGATCGATATAATCTTTAATTATGGTATACCGATGGTCATTATAATTATTATCTTTTCGTTCAAAGATTCTTCCAAAGAAGTATTGTTTAAACTTGATTTTTTTATTTATTTCTTAAGAAAAAAAAATGATGTCATTATTACGTTTTATTTTTATTACTATTATACATATATGTGGAAATGGTGTGTTGTTTGTTTAAATCATATTATCTATTATTGTTGTAATTATATACCGAAGTTATCGTCAGATGCTAATGTTTGTAGGTTCCATTCTGTTTCGAAATTTGTCCTTAATACACCTAGTTTATTGATGATATTATTACATGCATTCTTTAAAGCATCTTTTGGATCGTAACCTTCTGTAGTTTGTATTCTTAATTTAAATCTAGCAAAGAAAGGATGTTCAACCTTGTATGCAGCAAATAGAACCTTGGAATCCAATAATAACTCGGATCTAATCAAGTTACCTAGTGTATGATCCTCTTTTTCAAATAATACTATTATAGCATTTGGTGATTTAGTATCTGGGTCAATAGTTAACTTAGATTCACCTTCACCTAGTAAAAAAAGTTCAAATCTATCTGGAGCGTTCATAACAGCTGGTTATTTACCTCTTAATACAGATTATTCGTCTCTCTTCTCCAACTGATAAGCTTCAAATCAACTTACAATCTGTCAAAATTGCTTTGTTTTCTGCTGCTTTAATTGGCGTTGAAGGTGTTGTTGTTGCTGTGTCACTGTTTTATTATATTCTTCTCTATTGGAAAATAGAAACAAACTGGAAATTTCACTTTTTCCTATTAGTGTAATATTCGTACAACATGATATATATCAGTTCCCGTCACTAGTGATACAAATTAAGGGTATAATTAGGGTTATCGTTTTATATGATAATATTGAGTTAGGGTTTCTCCTTGGTCGTTAACTGCCTTTTTTTCTCTTTTTTTGAATATTTCCAAATTTGAAATTTCGTTATTTTACTATGAGAAAGGGAAAGTAAACAGGGTTGGAATAATAATACAATTTTTTATCAGGATCATAACTTACCTATATTTTAGAAGTGGGTAAAAGTTAAAGGATACAATTCACTTCTTACTTCAATTTTTTATATTGGATATTTTTTTTGTTTATTTTTCCTTCTATATTCATATATATATATATACACAAGGAGACAATTTAATTGTAAGCAGTCCTGTTCACTCTCGATTTCAATAGCAACTACGTCAAGTACACACTTTCATTTATCACCATTGTGAATTAATTTCTTTGCTTTTTTTCATTTTGGATTGATTTCAGATATAAACATAAGACATATATATATATATCTGCATACATATTCCTAAGCAAAAGAATTTTTTTTCGAACTGTATTATTATTCTTTGAATCGTCCACTAATAAGTGAAAACCTAAGATCATGTCGTACAATTGGAACGAACAGAAATATCCTCAACCAGGACCTCCTCCTGAAACTAATAAGATGAACAAGGATTCATCGAGTAACGTGAATCATGGAACTTCTGGCTCAGTCACTGAAGGCTCAAACAATGCTACTATTTCGAATATGGATAAACCAAGTCATGTAACTTTACCTTCATTAGCAAATTTGAATAATAACGATTCTACTGCAGGAAATAATAATGTACAACTAGCGAGTCATGATGGTCAGAATACAAATAATAATAATAATGCTAGTCCATCTGTAACGCATTCAGTTACTTCCACCCATGATCAAATGAATCCTGTATCGATCATGAATCCAAGTAATAGTACAGATTATGGTAACGCTTCCACTACTGTTGCTACTGCAGCTAGTAGTGCTCCTAAGGTTAGATCTGAGAGACAACATTCTGGGTTTTCTTTGGCAAGTTTCGATAACCCTTTACCACCTGCTGAAGAAAAAAGAAATTCAATTGCAAGCATCACTACACCAAACACTGCTGTCCCTAGTGCATCTCCAAAAATGACTGGTTCTACTGCAACATCTACCCATATGGTTAACAATCAACCTGCTATATCGACACCTGTGGTTGCTCCAGCAGTAACAGCAGCTGCACCAGTGATCTCAGAACCAGCAAAAGTCGAACCTCCCGCTGCCCTTGTTTCTGCAACTGCATCATCTTCTGTTGCTAGCCAACCACAGGGCTCAATTTATAGGCCATTGAACGTGAAGGATGCACTATCTTATCTGGAACAAGTGAAAGGCCAATTCATCTCCAGACCTGATGTGTACAACCACTTCTTGGATATAATGAAAGATTTCAAGTCTCAGGATATTGATACTCCGGGTGTAATCGAAAGAGTCTCCACGTTGTTTAAAGGTTTTCCAGCTTTAATTCAAGGCTTTAATACATTCTTGCCAGATGGTTTTAGAATTGAATGTTCAGATAATCCAGATGAACCAATAAGAGTCACTACCCCAACTGGTACTTCCACATTACATGACATTTCAGGTTCGAAAATAGAATTAAATAATGGTCCTTACAACGAACAACAACAGCAACAACCAATAGGTTCGCAAATAGAGCAACAAACGGAGCAGCAGCAGCAGCAGCAAGTACCTTCTCAAATTCCACAATATCCTCAGATGAACCAAATTCAGAATCAACCACTTCCACAGGGTATTCTGAATCCGGAAATGTCTTCTGTTGAGGGTCAAAATAAGAAGCCTGCAGATGTCGAATTAACGCAAGCTATCAGTTATGTCAATAAAATCAAAGATAGGTTCGCAGATCAGCCTGATATCTATAAGAACTTTCTAGAGATCCTCCAAACTTATCAAAGGGATCAAAAACCAATAAATGAGGTATATGCTCAAGTAACTGTATTATTTCAAAATGCACCAGATTTGTTAGATGATTTCAAGAAATTTTTACCTGATTCATCTATGTCGGAACAACAACAACAACAGCAACAACAAGAACAACTGAATCAACTACAACAACAGAGATATGTATATAATGATGCTAATGGCTATTATCAGACAGGATCTAGCATGGCTAACTCCCAACAAAATCTACCGCCAATTGGTAGTTTTTCGCCGCCAAATAATGGTGTTCCGTTTCATGAAGATTATAATGAACAGGCAAGACCTCAAATGGTAGGTCTTCCTTCAATGATACAACATGAACAGACTATAGATATGACCCAGAATCAACAACAACAACAACAACAACAACAACAACAACAACAACATGGTGCACCACCACCAATCTCTAATGAAAATATTCCAATATCAAATATGAGATCAGGTACTGTCATGGAACAATATCCACAAAATGAAGTTGTAGTAATGCAACAATTGCCTCAACCAATGAGTCAACCAATGGCAGAAGAGCAGTATGGTGAGGTACCAATTAGGCCTGAGATTGATTTGGATCCTAGTATTGTTCCTGTAGTTCCTGAACCTACTGAACCAATTGAAAATAATTTAACTCTTGTTGAAGAAACTAGTTTCTTTGATAAGGTTAAGAAAGTGGTGGGAAACAAACAAATATATACAGAATTTTTAAAAATTTTAAACCTTTTCTCTCAGGATTTATTAGAGGTAAATGAACTGGTTGAAAAAGTTGATTATTATATTGGATCACATAAGGATCTGATGGATTGGTTTAAAAACTTTGTTGGATACAAGGATCAACCAAATATTATTGAGAATATTGTTCATGAAAAGCACCGTCTTGATTTAGATGTTTGTGAGGCATGCGGTCCCAGTTATAAGAAATTACCAAAGAGTGATACATTTATGCCATGTTCCGGTAGAGATGATATGTGCTGGGAAGTTCTTAATGATGAGTGGGTAGGTCACCCAGTATGGGCTTCTGAAGATTCTGGTTTTATTGCCCATCGTAAGAATCAATACGAAGAAACATTATTTAAAGCTGAAGAAGAAAGGCACGAATATGACTTTTACATAGAATCTAATTTGAGGACCATTCAGACCTTGGAAACTATTGCAAACAAGATATCAAATATGACTGAAGATGAGAAACAAGCTTTCAAGTTACCACCTGGTTTAGGTCACAATTCATTGACTATCTACAAAAAGGTTATTCGTAAGGTTTATGATAAAGAGAGGGGGTTTGAAGTGATTGATGCATTACATGAACACCCAGCTATTGCTGTTCCTGTTATCTTGAAAAGATTAAAACAAAAGGATGAAGAATGGAGAAGAGCCCAACGTGAATGGAATAAAGTATGGAGGGAACTTGAACAAAAGGTTTATTTCAAATCTTTAGATCATTTAGGATTGACATTCAAGCAAGCCGATAAAAAATTGCTCACCACTAAACAATTGATTTCCGAAATTAGTAGTATCAAGGTCGACCAAAATAGCAAAAGAATGCATTGGTTAACACCTAAACCAAAGAGCCAGCTCGATTTCAATATTACAGATTTTGAAATTATATTTGACATTATGAAACTCTCCTTCGTTTCAATTGATAACGTATCAAACTATTCCAACCCCGACAAAGAGAGATTAAAAGACTTTTTACGCGTTTTAATAAGCGTATTCTTCTCTATTCCATTAGGGAAAATTGATGATGCGTTGACAAAAAGAGGTTTAGATTTAGGTGACATTGCAGATGAAGAAGTCGATTTAGGAAAAGATGCAGATGAAGGTGACGGAAATAAGAAGAGAAAGATATCAGCTGACATTGAATTTACTCTGAATGATATTTTGCGTAGAGATAAATACCAGAAATTGAAGCACCCTATTAACGATGGTGAGTCTAATGAACAAGACTCAGAGATGGCTGCTGAAGACTCCAGGTTAGAAAAAGAAGCTGAATTTATCAGAAAGGATGCTAGAAAACCATGGTTATTGGGAGATATAGTGGATAAGGCAAACGCAAACGGCATTATCTCCAATAGAGTTAAATTTAATTTGTTTGGTAATACATATGTCTACATTTTTATTCGTTATTTGATTACGCTCTACGATAGATTGTTAGAGGTTAAGAATATGAATGAGGCTGTTACAAAAGAAATAAATAGCAGGAAAATTGTTCAATTTGCAAAGGACTTATGTCTGATATCAACACAACTTAAGGATATGGGTCTTGACTTCGCTGGGAAGGATAGCTATCAAGAAATTCTTCACCTTGGTGAGCGGTTAATTCTTGGTGATATCGAGCATCAGTGGTTTGAAGAAAGCTTACGTCAAGCATTCAATAACAAGGCATTCAAGTTATACACTATTGATAAGGTTACTCAGGCTATTGTAAAGCACGCACACACTCTGATGTCAGATAACAAAACAAGTGAGATACTTAAGTTATTTGAGAGAGATAGAATTGCATCATCTACAAGTACAAAGGATCAAATAATGTATCGTCTACAAACTCGTTCTCACATGACCAATACAGAAAATATGTTCCGTATCCAATATGATGGGGAAGCAAAACATATCTGTATCCAATACATTGCTCTAGATGATTTAACACTAAAGGATTCTACCACAGACGATGCAAAATGGAAATATTACATTACATCATATTCATTGCCTCATCCAACTGAAGGAATTGACCAAGATCAACTGAAGGTTCCATTCCTAGAGAGAATTCTAGAATTTGAACAAAACGAGTTTGGTACTGAAGATAGTGGAGCAGATAATTCAGAAAATTCTTCTTCCATGGGTAAATATGCACCAAACGGTGTATCCAGTTCAACATTAAAAATTAATATTGCTCCTGCTACTTACTCTTTGAACATTGAAGAAGGTTCGATTGATATCTTCTCCAGAAAATCCATCAATACCTTCCCAACAAAGAATTCCAAGGTGCAACACGGAAAATCAGAGCTATTGGTAAACAAGTTTTTAGATAAGACAGCTGTCTTTAAGAAACCACAGAGCCCAGAACAAGCAACTGTCATAAAAAAAGATGAAAATCAGCCAGTAATCAACCCTACTGAAGGTTCTGCTGTCTTAAAAACGGTTGACGCAAATACTACGAATCCTATCGAAAATTCTACAGCTACCTTTCAATCTGTTGTCCTTAACGAACCCCCAAATAATGAAAAAGAAAACGAAAATAGTGAAACAGATAAACAACCTGAGAATTACAAAGTAAAATCAAACGACTTGTCTGTTGCAGATCCATCAGCGACTTACTCTTCTGTCTAATTGTAATAGTTAACATGTATTATATATATATATATATTTAAGAGAATACTCTTTAGTTGCAAAAAAAATTAACTATTTAGATGATAGATACTGTTTACTAATGTAAGAGTAATAATTTTACTAATCTTCTTCAGGATCAACACCAAAATCTTCCAATTCTTCGCCCCATTCATTCTTCCAAGCTGTTCTCCTTTGTGTTTCAGTTTCGTTACTTCTTATAATGACCTCACCATCCTCTTGAATTACCTCTACCTGTGTTTTATGGTTCATATCAGTGGCTTGTCTACCACCATCTGGTGGCCAAGGTAAAGCTAATAAAATATCTTGCAATGATGATCCTTTCTCATAGCCAGAAAATTCATTATGTTCAAAATATAAACCATCGCCCTCAGGTACTGCCCAAGGGAATATCCATAGTAAAGGGGATGATCCCAGGGCAGTTGATATATTCTTTAAAATGCTATTATCATAAGGAAAGTTTACTACTGTCATAAATCTTAGTCTACCTTTTGACTTTCTCTCTATTAACTCTGCAGCTTCACTCTTATGTTCGATAGTCTTTTCATCGGGGTAAAGGTCATAAACCTTGTTGATCAAAGTCCCTAGGAACTTTGAATTTCTTCTATAATATGAGCTCTCTAGCCTCTCTAATTCCCAATTTTCAATTTGTGTCATACCATTGAAAATCTGATTTCTGATGCACCTAATGAATAAAACAAATATTGTAAGAAAAATAAATGCATCAAATGGGGTTAAAATAGTCAAGAAAATTAATTCACTTTTGGTTATCAAGGTAGTAGAAATATTTCTGGAGTTTCTATGATCCCAAATGAATTTAATTCTAGTGCAAAGTTGAAGAAACAAAAACGCTGTTGTAATAAGCACCCAAACCAAAAATCGTAAGAATTGGGGGTAATTAAAATACCCAACACAGTTCATTGTCCAGGGACAATGATGATCCATCATTAATACGCATTGATTGCATGTTTTACAATGATGGGCTCTTTCCGGTTTCCAACTTTCGCATTTCTTGCAAAATTTCAAATTACTGGTGTCCTTAGGATTAAACTGTATTGGTTTCCCAGGGTTAGTGTAAATTGCCAAATAATATGACAACCAAATCATGGAAAGGAAACATTGGAATATAATTTGTCTTTTCCTAGAAAGAAAGTTCGACAATATGAAATAATGAGCATTATATCCAATAAATGAAATAATGAAACATGGGACTGCAATACCTACCCATGGTCTTTTTAGCTTTATAGCCATTGTTTCAAGCTGGTTTACTAATGAGTACTCTATTACGTATTAATTGGTTCATTGAGTAATCTATTTCTATCCGAGTTTTTTAATTAAATGTTTCAGTGATAGTTCCTTAAAATCTCTTAATTTTTTTGAAAAATCTATTTCAACGTGTTACCGATGACCTTGGACTATTCAGTGAAAACAATTATTAATTTTAGAATTTATTAAACAAAATAAGTTAAACAACTATGTCCATAATTTATGATTATCCTTGGTCTTTGAAGTATGGGTATCGAAGATGACATAAATTGTTTGTTTCAAAAGACAGATACGGCGGATACAGTGGACTTAAGATATTGGTCATCATATAAGGGATACTACGAGGTTGCTTTTCAAGATGATCAAAAGGATGTCATGTATGTGTTTGCTGTCCAAGAAGGGCTAACGAATAATCCTATAGTTGGAATGATAACATTTGCCGATATCACAAGGCAATGTGAAGAGCAAGGGATTGTATCTACTGCGAGTGTCATTCAAATATGGGGGAGGGTCAAGAATTGTCTTTTGCAAGACACCTTAGATGGATTCAATATTTCAGAATCTCAGTTTAAAATATCTGTTAAGATATCTGGTTTAATGAAAGTATTCTTTATTATCCATTTTATCGAGATTAAAGATTGTAAACTAGTATCTACTATTATGGGATCTTTAATAAAGTACGTAACAACTATTGCCCAATTTTGCATGGAAGAAACACGAAAAGTTATCAGCATTATGAAAGAAAAAGATAAGAATATTGAGTATCTCAAAGTTCTGGTAAAGGACCTTGGAGGAGAGCAGATTCTACAAAAGCATGCTCCTATTGGTTCGTTTAATCATGAAGTACTTAAACCGTTCGATCAAACACATCTTAGGGATCTTATCCTTGCTGATAAGCAGGACAAAATTCAAGTGGTCAATAACGGTAATATATTTGATGTTGGGAAATCATATATCAATGATATTAAGAGTTCAATCGATGAGCAATATCTTAATTCAGTTCTTCCAAAGGGGCCTGAAATTTTAGTACCTGGGAATAGTAAAACATTACAACTAAAACAGACTTGTACAGGTAAGAGACCTTTGAAACACCACGTTCATAAAAATGATAAACATGAAAACCTGTCACCCATTGTCAGACGTGATGGTATGCCAAACAAAAAATCTAATTCATCGGATGTGCCGGGATCTCCTACAAAACCAACTAAGATACGTAAGTTTGGTAGAGTTAAAACAGGTAAACCGCATTAAGTTAAATGCTGTACATTGTGAAACACCTATGTATGTTTACTGATTTAATTATGGACAATCTAAATAATATCTTTCTTATGATTTTCTAGATGGAGAACAAATTATATTAAATTAAAAACTATAGAAGCATATGAAATATGTTAGATAGAGTTTATGATAAGTAAATATATATATAAATCAGATGGTATATGGAAGACTTGAAACTTAATTTAATTCTAAAGAAATAAGATAATATCGTTCACTGATAGGATCGAATGCCAATAGTTAATAATCTTTTCCAAGCATTCCATTCCATATAAAATAAAGTAATTTGCTTCTTAACGTAGACGACGAGCTTCACGTTCAGATTCCATTAGGACTAGGATATCGTTTTCTCTAACTGGACCCTTGACGTTTCTGACAATGGTTCTGGTAGTGTCTTCTAGAAATTCGACACGGACTTGGGTGACACCACCACGAGAACCGGTACGACCTAGAACCTTGATGACCTTAGCTAGAGTAATTGGGGTTTTGGTATCCATTTTTGCTGTACCTCTTTCGTATTTGAAATCAAAGAAATCTAGTAATATTTATACAGATACATCTTAAATAAGAATAGGATACCAACAATAACTTGATTGAGTGTAGTCGATGAGAAGAAATGAGTTAGAAAGAGACTAGTATTGAACTGAAAGAAAAGTAGATTATTCCTCGCAAATCGAACAAAGTGCAAGGCCCTGTTAACAGGAGCGTAAAAAAAAATTTGTTCATTTTGTGCGTCTATCATATTGTACGAACTCAGGCAGGGTAAATCGCGCAGGCCAAAAACAAAAACATAAAAATTAACAGAGAAGCAGGGCTTAATACAATAAAAGTGCTTATAAAATCTACTCATTTCTCCTTTGATGGACCACAACTGTTTCTTATCGAGTTCCTTAATTCATCCTCTGGAAGTAGCAACAAATGTTGAAAGTTAGATACAAATTGAAGGATCCTTTCTGTTTCACTATGAAACTTTGTTTGAACTTCTTCTATTAAACCTTGATATTTTGTTGATAAGTCTTTAAGAACTCTATTATTCATCTCATCATTTATTATTTGCAACTTTCTGGTAAGTTCGTTTGAAAATACAGCTACTGAGCGGTTGATTTGTGCTTGCAATTCGTTTGTGAAATCATGTGCGTCCAATAAGGATGAATTGCAAGTTGGGGCGTTTAATACATTCGAAGGTGTCATGTTTACGATCGTCGTTGATTCCTGAAGGACATGCACTTTTTCTTTATCATCTATCGTATGATCATGTTTTGTTACTTCGTTATTATTGAGGACACTGTTGTTGGTAGATTCAATTATTATACCATCTTTTGATTCTGATGTAGTCATTGCAGATTCGATGGTAGGATTAATAAGTTTCTGTTTCTTTGTGATTGCCTTTTTGGGTGTCTTGCTTGAGACAGTTTCCTTCGAATTAGGAACTTCATTTCTTTTGTTGAGTGCTCTTGTTCTTAATACCGGACCATTGTATTTCTCTTTTTCAACCGATGGGATAGATATGGTAGGCTTTTTAACTTTTGTTGTAACATCCTGGGAAGGAATTGTTATAATTTGTTGAACATTCGATAATTTCTTTTGTCTAGGAGCAGTAGTTTTTTTCTTAGAAACTTTATTCTTAAGTCTTTTATTAGGTTTCTTAACATCTACTTTAAAAATATTATTAAGGATACTAATATTCTTTTTGTTATTGTTTATCACTTCTGTTTTTTTGTTTACTTCGGGAACCCTTTTTTCGTCTTTTTGAATTTTATGATTAGTTGTATTTGTTTGACATTTTGTTATTTCTAAGGAAAATTTATCTGTGTCTTCAGGTAAAACTTTAGTGTTATTATTACTTACAATTGTTTTTGAAATATCTGTCATATTTCCAGCCTTATTTGAACTTTGATCTTGACCATTTGAAGGTTCATTTTTTGAAGTTGTAATATAATCACCATCACCATCACCATCATCATCATCATCATCATTATTATATTGTTGTTTCTGTATACCCATCCAATGAGTCTCTAAAGGTGTTTCATTGATTTTCCATTCATCGGATTTTTCTCTTTGATCTGAATCATCTGGAGTTCTAAGTTGTGTTGAAGGCTTTGAAATCATTTGAATCGAAGGTGGAATGTTTAAATTTATTTTTTTACTAACCATATCATTAATTACTTCGGGCAAACTTGTAATAATTTCATCATTGTCGGCAGTGACAGCAACACCACCACCATTAGTTATATCAGAGTCTTGTTCTTGTTCTTCAAAATCCAAATAATTTAATGAAATAATACCAATTGATTGACTGATTTTTTGTCTTTTTTTACAAAGAGTAAAAAATTCGTCCTTAATTAAAGAATTATCGAATACTAAATAGAAGTATTTAATTTTCTTTAAAATTTTCTTGAATTGATCTGAAAATTTATTGCAATTAATTAATTCGATTGCTGTTTCATCTTGTAACTGGAATATAATTTCTTCTTTTAAATTTTTGAAGGTATGAATAAAAGGTCTGTGGAATTCAATACATAAACCTAAATTACTCCACAAATATATCTTATCATTAATAAATTGTACCATACTAAACCAATTTTCACCTATTTCTAGATTATTTTTCAAACCAGTCTCAGAACATTTATAACATACGTCAGATGGTTTAAAAATTGGGTTCATAAGGACTGGATCATGAATTTGGTTTTGTAAAATATATGAAAATATTCTTTCTTCTGAATGACCATCATTATTTCTAGAATTTAATATTTGAAATAATTTATTACCAAGATATTTTTTTTGTTTTGATAAATCAATTCTTGATAAAAGAAACATGAAAAATGACAATTGTTGTAAATTTGAAGAACAACAATTCTGGACAAATAAATCAAATGAAATATATTTTGAATTAATTATCTCAATAATATCTTTTAAAAAAGAATCACTTATTGAAGGTATCATACTGATAATCCTAATCAATAGAATAAAGATTTTCCAATTTTCACCACGACAAGGAATTTCGAGGGATAAATTAATTAATGAATATAGGGGATTAATAAATTTTGAGTTCATCAAAATATCTTTTTTGATTAAAGTTGAATCGACGAATAATTTCTAATAAAAACAAACAAAAAAAACGGTGTTAACCCCCCACCCAACACACATTCAAAGAGAGTTAGTAAAACTGTACTTAAAATCGTTTAAAAAAAGGTGTTTCTTTTATTTTACGAACATTTAAAAGTTTCCAAAATTTAGTTGGATCAATCATATTTAGATCAGTAAATCGAATACCTGAAGAGATGAATTTCTCTAGGGAAGTCAGATTATTAAATTTATAGTGTGATTCTAATCTATTTAATAGTGTGATAATTTCATTATAGTCCTTTATTGAAACATTTGTAATTTCAAAATTTTTCTCAAAATTAGTAACGATAAGTTTATTTAGTTTATTCATGTTTGCCTAGTTTATTATGTTGATTCAAATAATACTGCAATCAAATTTGATATATGTATATATATGTATATGTTCTAATTTCTTAATTTATTTTATATTCTCTTTTAAAAGTTGTTTAAACTTTTGCCACCCTCAACCACTTAGAAACCTTTACTTTATTTTTTGCCGCCGAGCCATGCGGCCCTTCTGAAACTAACCCAACTTCCTCCTCCCTCCAAAATGAGCCACTAACGTTCTTCACAACCAGTAAGCGGTAAAATTCCCCGTTTCGGTAGCGGCTAAATGTGGCGGGAGAGGAAAGGGGAATGAACTACCAGGCACATGACCTTTCTCTCTTGCTTCTACTACTATAAATCAGATCTAACATCTATAGTGAAGAGCACTGATAACAAGGTTTTTTGACTATATATAATCATTCCAAGTATAACGAAGCAAGAATAAGCAATGCGACAAGATTTGTGTTTCCATTAAGGAAAACCATCTTTATCGGTTATATTGATAGTAATGTTCCCTTGCAGCACTACACTTTTACAATTGCCATATGCTACATCACGTGGCAACAAACCTCACTGATACCTTTTTAAATATAAATCCAAGGTGCCCTTTGTAGTAATGTTCCATGCTTTCCCTATATATATACATTTTTTTGTCTTCTTAATTATCAACTCAAAAAGTCCTTGTTCTGCCCATTTATAACAGACGCGAATTGTCACATCCACTGACCATCTTCCCCCACTCCGCCAATTAATGAAAAATAAGAAAATACGAAATTGTGTCGCGAAATGTATAAGAAGAAGTAAGGGAGAGAGAGACGCGAAAAGACTGAAAAATTTCCGCAGAGGAAACAAAATTAATCAATAGAGTGATTTGGTAATATATAGCTTACAGACTGACATTTCGCGTCATTAAATATAGATATCGACTCACTCCACACTATCTTAAATTATAAACTCTTGATCTCTGCAAACCCTTGATTTTGTTCTTGGCATACACGAAATGTTGAAACAACGAAAAAAATAACTGAATATACGTATATTCATCAAACGTTGGAGTTGACTTCTATATGTAGATGGATCGGATCACATTAAAGTTGAATGTCAGCTTACCAAAAAACATAATAAAATAATAAGGCTGGGCTGGCTGACTGGCTGGGCTGGACGGAAACGAGGACTTTCTTTGAAGAAATTCATATCCTTATAATCATATTCTAAAAGATTAATTTGTATTATGACTTTTTACAATTGGCGTCAGAACAGAATACTAGAGTGCGTTTCCATAATGGCCACTTTTTTGTTTGTTTTGACGGTTCTTCTTAGGAGAAAGAGAAGAGCGCCTGTATTACTAGATACATTGACAGAAGGATTTGGGTGCCCTTTGTTTTCTTGTATTGATTCACCCTACTCTTATTCTTACTTGATATCTATGATACCATTTTGTACAGCCTCTATCAATTTACTTCGAACGATACTATAGATTTTTCATATTTTAATTAATGTTACTAGATATTTCGTCTACTTTCTTAATTATAGAGAATCCCTCCTGAGCTTGTAATGTGATTTTGACGATTATGTACAGAGCTTTTAATGGTGACATATCCTGTGCTCTGTTCTTCAATGAATACGAAATGTAGAACTATAGAATTATAATACCCCCTACATCATCAGTTTCTTCTTCTCAATTATATATATATATATATTGGTGAATTAAGTAAAAGAAATATTATCTTCTAATCTCTCTTACTTAATTCACCAAGGAAACCTATCCAAACTAAGATTCATAACCTCCACCCCCCATTAATTCGGTATTTTTATCTTCCGACTTTGATTAAATCATGAGAATGAAGTATAATAATATTTCTATTATATTCCTTTTTATATCCATATTATCAATTATTGTCAATGCATCTCCAGCTCAATATAAACCATATCAAAGGAGAGGTTTACCTGGTTTAAAGACCACTACAAGTACTACAAGTGCTTCTAGTTCTATAGCAACAGGTGATTCAGATACCAATACATCAATCGGATCAAACACTACAAATTCAAATGTGACATCATATTCGAATTCTACGATTCAAATATATACTTCAAATTCAAGTGTGATTACTTCCATTGTAAGAACTACTACATCTAGTTTGAATTATATTTCAAATCCAGTAACCATACCAAATAATAATCAAATGAAAAACCCGAATATGATAATGAGAACCTCTACTGATGGAACTGTCTTCATCTCATTTGCAAGTTGTCTAGGAGTAATTATTATAGCTTTGTTCCTAACTTGGGCGATACTGGGATTTAAAGCTTGGTATAGGGCACGCCACGAAAATCATGTGAAAACTATGCAAGATGGATACCTTACAGATCCCTTTAGTAATAGAAACGCAACTTTTGGAAGTGATATCACTAATAACAGTAGCAATGGTGGTGGACTAGGATTCTTTGGGTCTGATCTAGCTTCTCTAGTTTCTAGTGGATCTGAAAGTTATGATGACAATGAAAAGAATAATGATTTTGGGGAAAAAGTCTTAAAGACTAAAAGCTCTAGATTAAGTTTATATTCTTTGGGTTCTAATTCTGCCTTGAATCTATTGAATTCTTTTGAAAACTCAGACTCATCGAATAAAACGAAGGGACCCGCATCAAAGAACATACCGGCTAATAATGCTAGATTATCAATGTTTATATCACCTACTGAAATTTTACAAAACGAAACTCATCAATGGAATAATAGTGCAAATGCTAGTCATGAAAGTTTCTTTAACTCAGAGATAAGTACACCAACAGCACAAGCCTCAGCTGTCTCAACATCTCAATTTATAATGAATGACTACTCCGAATTTAATAGAAACAATGCTACGACAACTGATCCCAACGAAGCCAAAGTTAAACATTTTAGACCGCCAAGTGTTCATTTGGATGAATTATTGAATCTTCAGGATGAAGATAAATCTTCTCCATAGGTCGAATAATAAAATTTGAACTTTAATCCATTGTAGATAACCATGTTGTTATATACCACTTGAAAGAGTATCAAAAACGTATACACAACCACGAAGATACACCCCCTATACACTACTTGCATGCATTTTCGTATATATAAATATAAATATATATCACCATTATATGAACTTTTTCTTTTTTATTAATTATTTAGATCCCAAACTAACCGCTCTCTTAGCAAAGGCTCCCATTGCAAGATTAGTAAGATTGTCAGCGAATATTGATGATACACTGTTGTATAGAAGCGAATGAAATTGGAAGTTTAATACAAGTTCAACTTGAGCTATATTCTGTTTTCTTGGGTTTGGGATAATGGTCCATTTTGTGGATAATGTTTTAAATAAATTATGGGATATTGACACTGCTTCCACAATATAATTTTGTTTATCAGTTAATTCCTGACAATTAACATTACAAGTAAAACGTTCGTCGTATGACTTAAACCCTACCCTCAGGCCTGCCAATATTGGGTTTCCCGTAATAAAATCCCTTTTGTCAATAAAGGAGTCGATACAATATGGAATAAAATCACTATATTTATCTATCTGCGATACTACTTCGTACACTTGTTTCGGGGTAGTCTCAAATGTCCTAACTAGTTTATATGTTTGGATGGATTGAAGCTGATTTCTCCTTTTATCTAGGTTGAAGTTAAACAAAGATCTTCTACCCGTTATTCTTATTTGTCTTTTCATTTTACCATATCGATATATGGGCATAAGCTTAGTCACAAACATTAGTATAATTCAATTGGAACCCTAAAGTTTACCCTTCCCAAATGACTAATGAAAATCTGTTATAAAGATGTCGGAAATATCAGATCACTATTACAAAGTGAAAATTCTTTTGTAACTTAGGTTACTTGTTTATAGGAGAATTCCCCTTATATTATTATTTATTTGGTTGTCTTCTGCCTTAAAAAACAATATTGGTGTTGAAACTAAAATGTAACAAATTAGTTGAGGAAATCATTTTTGTTGAAGAACCGCATGTATACCAAAAGAATATATAATCTATTATTATAACTAAAGGACTAATAAAGTTCAATAATCTTATAAGTTGGTTTAAGTTACGTCTGGATAGTATCACAGTTCAATTTCTAATAAAATTTTCAAGAGCGTAATGTCATTTGAAGTACATTGGGAAGACCTCCAAAACGACGTTGCTCTAAATGCTCAAATACGAGATAAATTAAATAGTTTTTTTGGCTCCTTAGAATTGCCATCATACCTAAATCATATAAGCATAACCGATTTTCAGATAGGTTCTCATGCTCCAGAGATAATACTTCACGATATCTCAGAACCAATCAGTGGTATAAACCCCAATCCATCTGGTACGGATGAGAATGACTTGCAGTTGTTATTCGAAGTGAAGTATGATGATGACTTACAATTAGAATTAAATACTTCCCTGGTACTAAACTACCCTTCAAAGGAATTCATGGCATTACCCATTAACATTAAGGTTAGATTCGTATCTTTACATATATTATGCCTTATTGGAATATTTAATAAAGGCAAGAGAATTGTGTTTAGTGTTCTATGCGATATTGAGGATCAAAATGATAGTACACGTAGACAAAGCATAGGAGACTTACTGAAGGATAAAGTTGGGTCGCCTCTTGAAAGGCTGGCTATAATCAAGGATCTCAGTATAGAAACTGAGATAGGATCAGATGCTAGTACTAACCTGTCTAACGATCTCCAGATCAACGATGATGATACTCTATCTGAATTGAGTTATAGTTCCAATCCGAATGGCGCAACATTAAGAAACGTTGACAAACTAGAACAATTTCTTGTGGAAAAATTAAAGAATTTCTTAAGACAAGAGGTAGGATGGCCAAGTTGGTTAACGTTTGAGCTAGATGATGAGTCCTCAGATGAATCAGACGAAGACGATTCAGGAAATGAATGAATGGATAATGAATAACGAACACTAATCAATATAATTATTTAATATACGTATACATGGAAGATAGCACGATCACTTTTATATATATACCCTTTATATAAGACCAACAAATAACTTATATTCATACCCACCAATTCTATCGTTGAAAGAACCCATAACTATATATTGTCACCAGTAAAAAATCTTCTATTGTTGCGATGCATTCATATTAGAGATGGTTAACTTACAAAATTTCTATACGGGGATGGGGCGCTGCTGTTGCTCGCTACACATCTTGACTTAATGAGAAATCAGACAATATTTTGATAATGGATATACAGGGGAACAATGGTCCATCTAAAATGGTACATGAGTTGTATAAAAGTATTCACAATCTTTGGTTTTCATTTTTGAAGTTATTCTTTATATTGCAACAATACAACATATCCAAAAGTATTATTATAGTAATCCATCCTTTTAATTAGGAGAAATCTCTTTAAACGTTTTATCAACAAAGCTAAAAAAAACAAAGGCAACTTAGTTTATGAGAATATGAGTGTACATGATTCAAATGAACATGACATTTGGGCGTCAGGCAATGAGACGAAATCTCCCTGGGGGGCAAATGAAAGTAATGAAGCGAATCATAAGACTACAACAACCGCATTAAATCAGAATTCCAATGTTTCATCGACACTTAATAGCTTAACCATAGATAATGAAAATCCAGGTCATTCTATATTTGGCAGTTCATCTCCCGTTGGTTCTGAAACAAATATCTTTAAAGATTCCCTAGATGAACAACAACAAGAAAATGATTCTGAAGAGCAGGGTGTTTGGGGTGGATCCAATAAGTCAGCCAAATTCCCACCTTTCTCTGACCCTTTAACTGCAACATTAAATATATTTGACGATAATATTACTAGAGGTGAGGGATCTTCAGAAGTAAATAATATTGAAACTGAACAACAGACTAATAATGAGGAATTGGAAGAATGGATTAAGGCTGCTAGAAAACGTTATAATCCATTGTTATCAGATATAGTCTCAATCGAAGAGATTCCGGAGCGAGAAGGTCTGCTATTTAAACACATCAATTACAAACTAGTGTTATCTATAGAACTTCCAGACACCGAACCATCCGACTCAAAAAGTGTTGTTAGAAGATACTCAGACTTTGATTGGTTACAAGAAGTTCTATTAAAGAGGTATCCATTTAGAATGATCCCTGAGTTACCACCTAAGAAGATTAAAACCTCTCAAAATTTGGATCCCACTTTTCTCAAGAAAAGACAACATGGTCTTTACACCTTTATTAATTTAATAATGAAACATCCTATATTAAAAGAGGATGACTTAGTATTGACCTTCCTGACTGTGCCAACTGATTTGTCTACTTGGAGAAAACAATTAAATAATAAATTTGATACCGTTGATGAGTTTCATAACAAAAGAATTACCAAAACTTTCATTAAAATGTGGAAACCAGAATTATCAATTCATTTAAATGACGTTGCCGGTTCAATTGATAGGACAATTGAAACATGGAATAAGGTAAATATTATAGTCCAGAGATCGCAAAGAAGGTTACAACAAAAGATACATGAAAACAAAATAATGACTAATCTACTAAACGACTTACAAGGAGAGACCTCTAAAATGTACCCTATTGATATTGATGAGGGAAATAATAGAACTGTCCTTGACATTAATAATAATCTCTCCATTATAAACAAACATATATCTGACCTGAATATTTTGAATGATGAGGAGATTGCCAAATTATCACAGGAATTAATTCCAAAATTTGCCATATATATCGACATATTAGTATCTTTAAAGAACATGTTTGAAAGATATAGAATAATGGCGACCAACAACATACCTCAATTACAAAGACATATAGAGATTGATATGGAAAGGTTAGAATCCATGAAAGGTAAACCTGACTCAAGTGGAACAGAATACGATCGGTTGAGACTTTCTGTCAAAAAGGATAGAGCTTCCATCGTTCAACAATTAAATAGATCATGGTTGATTAGACAATGTATCTTTTTCGAATTTGCTATTTTCCAAGAAACACAGTTTTTAATTTCTAATGCATTTAAGGATTGGACAAGATTGAACTCAAGTACAACTGAGCTTAATATGAATGCATGGGAGAAGGTCACAGGCTTGATTGAAAATATGGCTTTATCGAATAACCTGTAGTTACTAATACCTCACGATATATATTTGGGCACTAAACACTTTCATAAATTTGTTATAGAATAAAATGTCGTAAAATGCTTATAAATATATTACAATGTATATAAATATATATATATATATATATATTCTTCTTCTCCATTAGATGGAAACCAACTCCTATTTGACTAATATTCCTATGCAATTTTCTTATTGGAATTAGTAAAACCATTACCTTTAATAGTAACTATATAGTCATCGCTATGATCGCTACTATCATCAACCTCTTTCAATAGTACTTCGGTACCAAATATAGTCTTTATATCTCTCAACAAAACAACAAATCTTTCGTCTATTTCGGCTTTGGCTATCCTTAATCTACCAATATCTTCTTTACCAATAACCATAAATGTTATAGCTAAAGGTAACTGTGTTCTACCAATAGCACCACTAGATTCAATTTCTTCTAGTAAATGATAAGCAACCATCTCACCAACTTCTTCTGGGATGGCACCAGAGTCACCAATGGCTTCTGCAAGATAACACCAACCTTTCTTAGTTTCACCAATCAATGTTATACCCCAACCTGGACTCTTACCAGAATTTTCTCCTCTCCAAACATCTGCAGTAATATTAACTTGACAACCCACATTTTTCAAAACTTTTTTTGCCCCATCAATCATTCTATTGACTAACGATGGACTGACTCTGGTCGAGTAAGAAACACCTTTAATAGCATTTATCATTGGTCTTTCTAACTCATGTATCGTTATTGGTTGTGCAAGCAATGTATCAACTACCAAATGGACTTCACCACCACCTAATGGTGGGGAACCTCTTTTCAATGTATGTAAAGCACATTCCCTAACACCAAACTTTTCTAGAATAGGTAACAACCCCCATTTAATAGCCTCTACACCAGCATCGTTATGAGAACTGGTTATACCACGTAATACAATAGAAAATTTCTTCTTTGAAAATGGTGCTAAATATAATAAAGGTTCCACGAAGTAACCAACAGGTTTCGATGGAGGACAATTATGTGTATGGGATCCTCCAACGATGATACCTGGTCTATAAATCACAGTAGTACCTGTGTATGAGATTTCAATCTGAGAACCATTTGTCACGGACTCCATCAATCTTAAGAATGATATTTCGTAATCCTTTAGACCTGGATTTAGGTCTGTAGATCTAATTTTTTCAATCTTTATAGGTTTACCAGAAAGTGTAGAGAGAACAATCCTTAACCTAAAATTCTGAGAGCCTAGGAAGGAAACATAGGGCGACTTTTTATTCGATGACATTTTGTATGATTTTGGATCAGTTAACAGATTTGAAGGTGATATATCTACTTGATCAGTGTAAAGTTTCCCTGTTATAAATGATACTATCTTCTTAAATATCACTTCTTTCGTACTTTGAGATGAGATGAGATGAGCCTGAAAATTTTTTTAGCGTTGTAATTTTTCTTTTTTTTTCTTTCATTGGCATAATTTTCCAACCTTCTCAATGCTCGCGCTGAACATAAAAGAAAAATATGCCGTGATAAACCTGGTAAATATAAGATGAAGACCTCCTCTATAGTTGAAGACCTCGTAGAAGTTAACTTGGCTATATTGAAAATATATTGAATTTATAAATTTATGTAGTGTATCAATGATATTTGTATGCTTGAATGTATTTTATTTTTAAATTTTGCTGTTTTTTGAACTTGAATTGTGTAGATGGTAGGCAAGGAAAAAGAAATGCTAGACATTTACTATTTCTATCATTTTTAAAGGAGAACTGGGGGCACTTAGAAACAATAATGTCCCTAGATCAACCCTACCAAAAATGTCATTATACACAGCAACAACATGATGAATTTGATGTTGATCAGAGTCCCAGTGAAGATTTTTGTGTTCTTGTATTGATCTTCGTCTGAATGGTCCTTAATATCTTTGGAATTTGAATCTCTCAAATATGGAGAATCACCATATCGGAAAGATGAAAACGTTCCAGAACCTTTTGCGGTGGAATTAGTGTCATTTGGTTTACCATTTTCGTAGACAAACGAATGATGCCAATCCTTTTCAGAATCTGGCAATTCTGTAGTATCTAATTCACCATCCCAACAGTATGTCACAAAACAGGATTCACATTCGATTGGTAATGTGATATTTAAAGATTCTTGTTTTCTTCTCATAATAGCACATCCAATACAGCTTAAGAAATCTGGATCATCCGTGAAATTATTCCTCGTTGCAATTTCAAACCCATTTTGAATCATTTGCCTTCTTTGAGTCTCAGAATAAGATAGTTTGAATGCACTTTGATTACTCTGGAATGAATATTCTGAATTTGGCATATATACGATCAAAGGAGGGATATATTCTAGATCTGTCATATTTGATGCATCACAACCAAAGAAAGTAGGTCTCTTATTTAATCCCAAATTAGTAAATGTATTAGTATCTGGAACGTAAGGGAATGCCATCCCATCACCTTGTTTAAAGAATTGACGTTCATAAGTATGAACCAAAGAGGACCCATCTGGCCATTGCAATTTCATATCTGCAGAACTATCCAAAGCAAATATGATATCCAAATCTCGATCCTTTTGAATCAATGGAACAAATGGGATATTCTCATCATCCTCACCACCATCCACCAAGTATAAACTATCAGAGGTGGTGATACTTGTTGTGAAATTATCTAGTACAAACTTCGAATCCTTAAAAGGGTTCGGATGATACACGGCAATATCGTTATAATCCTGTGATAGATCGTTTAAGAAATGAGTTGCTAACCGCGTGATAAATTTTGGAACAGGTAATTTTGTAGAGTTAATTCTTAATAAGAATTGATTAAATAAAGTTGAGGATGTTGCCATAATGAATGCAGTGTTATCATACCCGATAATACATTCCTTACCGTCCTCGATGTCGTCCTCTACAACATCTGTGTTGTCTTTATTTGTCGACGTAGTCAAACTGTGTGTCTTTACGTAAGGCTTAATTGGTATACCGTTAGATACATTGGATCCCAAATATCGAACGTCAAAGAATGCATTCAAAGAAGAATCCCAAGAACCCATTTCGAATGGATTAAATTCAAACAAAGTTGCATTCAAATTAATAACACTAGAACCTGGGTATCTACCATCTGAAAGACTTATAGGGAAAGGCATTTGAGCATCTCCGAAGACTTTTGAGTTTCGTAATGAACTCCAAGTATAATCGATCCCACCTCTATTTAAATTTGGGAAAAAATTATAGGACAATGCTCTACCCCATACATCAGTCAAAGAAGTTTCAAAACCTGCATCTTGCTTAGCTTGAATTGCATTCGAGATATGATCCCATCTTTTAGCAGATTTAAATATATTCATCCCACCTGGAGAAATAATAGAGTCATGAAGATCCCAAATCGGGTTTACTTCATAATCCGCATCTTCTTCTATTGTCACATCTTCAGTCTCTGAGACCCCGATACTATCAGTGTTATCTTCAACATCATCGTCTTTATCGTCTATATTCCAATTATCTATGATAGATTGTACAGAGGTCCAATTATTCCATGCCAAAGAACCTACTAACCAATTCCCACCAGAAACACCTGCAATGTAACTAGTCGATTGTAGAAGTCCACCAAGTCCATTTATTGTTGAGTTTATTGTACGATCATCCATTGCTGCAAGGACACCTGCCCCAGTCAACATTGATCTGTAACCACCGCCACTAATAGCGATCCCAATCTTTGGAACGTTGACATTATCGTCATTATCATTATCATCATTATCATTCTGGAAGAGTAAATCGACGAATGAGTTATCTTCGAAATTCTCTGTGGCTCTCAACAAGAACTCTTTTAAAGCAGGTACCGTGACTTCTTTTCTTTTACGTAACCACTGTGATTCTTCAAATGAGATAGAATTTGCTTCTCTTAGTAACGACTGGTTTGAGTCATGAGGACATTTAATTCTCTTTGGAGCATAATTAGAAGCAATTTTTGGTTTCTTATCCTTTGCAGCATCCGTTATAGGAACAATCAATGTAAGGAATAAGAAAAGGAGTAGTAAGTCGCGGAGACCATAAGGTCGTACAAGTCTATCTACCAACATTCTATTTTTTGTCTTGTTTCAAAATCAATATATTATTATTATTATTATTTGTAATGCAATAGAGAGATGATGTGGCTGCAATACAGGAGAAATAAAACAGAAACGGTTGTATGAATAAGAGATAGAATAAGGTATGATGATGATTATCGAATACAATAATAGTAAATAATAAGCACCCACGAGGGATAAGAAGTATATTATCTTTTGAAAAAAGTCACTACAACGCAAGAGACCTGAAAGCAGCTGTTCTGTCTTACCAAATAACATTGTTAATTAATCAAATATTGCAGAGTAAATCTGTCAAAGCAATCTTGAGGTATGTGTAACTCGTACGATTATCACCAAATTTTTCTCTTTGTCTTTCAATCGCTTAGCTAACACACACCCGCGCGGAAAAAACCCGTGCAGACAGATATGCCTATATACATATATAACCCAATCGGGAAAATGTAAAGAATTTCCACTCAAATTTTTGATTGTGGACCACGTTGTTAGCAAGTCCTGGTAGTGACGAGCAATAATAGCACCAATCTCTATACTATGGGGTTTTATCTGTTAGTTACCTTCTAGTAGAATGAGATGGCTGACTTCCTTTTGTATGCGTGTGTTGCTTGGACTAGCCAATGGTACATATATATATGTAAATAAGTACATAAGTATATACGTATATATATGTAGTACTGGCTAAGAAACTGAGTATCTCAAAGAGAAACTGATAATATAGATGCAAGAATTGGCGTGTGGAGGGTTTGAACAGCACACCCACTCACCATTATCCTTACTCTGACCCATGATATAACTTAACAGAGAGAAAGAGAGTATTTTAACATTAAATGTGTTCAGCCGTTCCAACGCGAAATTCATTTTCTCTGCTCTTGTTTTTGGGGTTACCCTCACGGTCTGTTTCAAAAATTGTGTGGGTTTTCCTCTCTTTGGTCGTTTGTTGATAATGAAATCCTCTCTGATGAAAGCGGTTGGGGGCGGCAACGAGAAAACAGAAAAGAAAAATAAACAAACAAAGAAACATTTTGTAAACAAATCAACAATTAAACTTGTAGAAGAAGAACTAAGACAGGGTTCGCAGTCTTAAGAAGAAGGAGCTCAGTAATAATATCTATATATCTATATATATACAATTTGGATCTAACAGGTTTATTTAGTTTTATTTTACTTTTGAGTATAAGATTATAACTACTCTGTAATAACATACACTCACAAACAAACAATTATGTCAGGAGGTAAAGCACACGGTGGTAAAGGTAAGACAGGCGGGGATTCAGCTAATCTAGGGGCTCAATCGTCTTCTTCTAGAGCTGGTCTACAATTTCCAGTAGGTAGAATCAAGCGTTACTTGAAGAGAAACGCTAGCGGTAAAGTTAGAGTCGGATCCAAAGCTGCCATATACTTAACTGCTGTCTTAGAATATTTGACCGCTGAAGTGTTAGAATTAGCAGGTAACGCCGCTAAGGATTTAAAAGTGAAAAGAATTACACCAAGACATTTACAATTGGCTATTAGAGGTGATGATGAATTGGATTCCTTAATTAGAGCTACTATTGCCTCTGGTGGTGTCTTACCACATATTAATAAAGCTTTATTATTGAAAGTAGAAAAGAAGACAAGAAAGTAGAACAGATGTATATCTATCTTCCTCTATTTTATTTATTTTCTTTCATGATCTTCTTTCGATATTCTAAAACGGTTTTATTCTCTTTATTATACATATATATACATACATATATATATCTATACATACCCACCATCCAATTTGTATTAATAAAATAATTTTTTTATGTATCTTTTAATTGAAAAAACTATAAAATATCTATTAATACAACGTACTTTCTTCTACTTTTTATATTTGTACATAGTTTACATAACGTTAAACACGTTATATTCATTATATGCACTATTTCGTCATTTTTTATTGTAAGAATACTAAGTAATGACACATAATAATAATTGAAAAGACTATATAACTTATTTCTTAAAATATATGTCAGTAACGATAAAATATTCAAGCACATCACATCCATAGCAACTATGATTGATTATGTTTTAGAAAATTACCCATGTCAGCTGTAAATAAAGACATAAAATTGGGCAAAAAAAATTAAATGGTCCCTAGCGGGATCGAACCGCTGATCTTGGCGTTATTAGCACCACGCCTTAACCAACTGGGCCAAGGGACCTTAATATTTTTAAAAAATTTAAAAAAACAGATATTTAAGAAATACTTATAAATGAGTCACGTGATATTATTATAAAAAGAGGGTAACTTATGGGATTGTGGAGACTCCGCCATATTCACAAAGAAAATGGAGTGACAACGCGCGCTCAGACAGAGTAGAAATAATAGTTAACTTTACTATGTCGGTTGGTTAGGTACACATAGTAGGCGTATTATTTCTATGTGTTGGAAATTAAATATTAACGTAGTAGTGGCCTTTTTGCTATTACTTGCACAGGTTAATTTCGGTAATAATAAAAAGAAATCATCAAGATATAATATTAATATTACACTTTGAGAACTGATATTCGATTTTTTGTTGAGTTTTAAAGATTAACCATATTTCTATTACAAACATTGTAAAGAGACTATATGTTTAGATCAATTTAAAAGGTATTTGAATTTCTGTAAAGTAAATTTCTGTATCAATACGATTGAGGTCTTTCTAATATAAAAGTTTCCCCTAGAATCACAAATATGCTTACAGCAACGAGAAGAAAACAACTCGCTGCTTTTACAGTAGCGATATACATACTCACTATTTCTGCTATAATCCATTCATATAATTCTTCAAGGACATTTCTACAAATGTCTTTAAAGTTGAATAGTGGCGTCAATCTGCTGATCCTAATGGTTTTTGGACTTTTAAATCTTGCATTAATATGGAATGCCTTAACATGGATGCTATTCGGAGAGTTAAGACTCATAGAACAAGAACATATCTTCGAAAGAGTCCCTTTCTCTGTATTAGGGATAATTATTATGACTTCGATGTTCTCTGAATATCATTTAATGACATTACTTGGCCTCTCTGGAGGTCTAATTGCTTTAAAGATATATCATTGGATATTAAAGGATAGATTAGAACAAAGATTACAAGCAATAAATAGTGAAACCAAATTTCGAAATTTAATCTTTTCACAATACATAAGAAATTTGATCATATTTGGTGCGACAGAGTTTTGGGTATCACATTATTTTTGGACTAAATATATATTTAAAGATGATTTAACAGATGATGACTTACAGGTTATTAATATTGGTATAGGACATTTCCAAGCCAAGATTAAAGGTAGGTACGATAGTTATATGAGTGTATTTTTATTATTTGGAATGGAATTCTGCGTCTTATTTGTGGATCATTTAGAGTTAATGTCTCATACTATATTGAATTATTACGAGTTTTATCTTAATGATAGAAGGCAACAACGTCGCCATCATCACCATGAAAGGATCCATACAGAGATTCTATCTGATACAGATGAATCAGATATACCATCTGAGGATGAGATAGATCAAGATGAAGATGATGACGATCAAGTAGATGACGGTTTAGAGAATAAATTCATATATGAGAAAATAATTGATATTGTGTCGAGAATAGCAAAGATGATATTGCATGTATTGATATTGTACCGTTTACAAGTTGTAGTGATTAAGGATATAATATGGGACATAATGTCGTTATACAAAGGTATTACTAGTCTGTGGAAAATATACAAGAATAATAGACAGTTAGATGATAAATTACCAAATATTGAAATTATGGATTTAATGGATCATGATAATATTTGTATCGTATGTATGGATGATTTAGTCTCGATTCCATCAGATAAAATATTAAGACACGAAGAGAATGAAAATGAAAAGGAAATGAAAAAGGAACTATTGACACAACAAGATATCGACAATATTAAGAAGTTTAAGAGACCTAAAAAGTTACCATGTGGTCATATGTTACATTTATCTTGTTTAAAAAATTGGATGGAAAGATCTCAAACTTGTCCGATTTGTAGGTTAGCGGTGTTTGATGAAAATGGTAAAGTGAAACCATCTGTGGTTCCATTACGTTCCAGATCCAATAACATTGTTAATAATACGAACATGGCAGCCTCTAATACCGATACTACAACAGATGGGCAACTACCAGGGACATCAAATAATTCCAATATTGAAACAAATATCGAATCGCCTATTGAATTCAACGACGAAGCACATGAATCTTGGTATACATTTGATATTAATGATATCAAGAGGGATTCTGATGGACCGGGAGAAACCATAAATTTTACTGCGGAGACATTACCACATTTAATTGGAACACCATCCGGTGGTAATCAATTACCATTATCATTACAAATTAGATCAAGAGACCAAGATGTTAATGGTGCTGTGATAGTCAACGATTCTAAAATCAGATTCCCAGACTCTGAGCCTTAATTAAGTAAATATATCTTCAAACCTTTACGCTCCGCCTATACCTGTTCATCATCCCCTATATATACACATGCACATATATATATTTATAGAATAACTCATCCATGAACAATATAGACCATTTAATGATTTCCCAAGAAAATCTACGTATCAAATAAACAATCTCTGCCAAGACAGCTATACAGAGTGACAAAAATGCGCTTGGCAAAAAACTTGCTCCTATAGAAACAGAAAATATGAACAAAACTGCGCCCACTTCTTCAATATGCGTCTTCTTAGCAAAAAAAAATTTCCCTAATATACTACTACTACTGATGAGGATGCGCTGTTTTCAATATGATACGTTAAACAGAAGATAGATGCCCAGATTCTTTCTCTTTAACTGCCTCTTTATTGTATTGTTCTTTTAAATACTCTTTGATCACTCTCTATCCTACGCGGCGGGGTGATAATCTCATTCCTTATTCCCTTACCTTAGAACTATATAAATATACATTGGCATACTAGCATTGGCTGTTATATCAATATATAAATGGGAAGTCTGAGAAAGGATGAAGGATCAGACATTCCCTGGGAGGAGAAGGTGGAGGAGGAGGGAGAGAGAGAAAGAGAGAGAGAGAGATATGTAGGGACGAGTGACGAATCCCGGCAAGACTGTTCAATCGAAGAATGCACTCTCATCGTAAGATGTTATAGAATTAAAGCATGAGACTACTTGTCATTAACCTAACACTTTACTTTTAAATTACAAATATCTATATTTTATAAATGATTCAAGTATAATTGACGTTAGAATCTATGTTATCTTGTATTCTCTGCTTTACGTAATAAAATATTAACAGAGAATTATAGGGAAATATAAACCCACTGAAACAAAGAAGCGTTTTTATAAAAAAAAATAGAAGTTTATCCGATAGGTGCAGTAACACGTATTTTTGTTAAAAAGAATAGATTTGGCAAAGGAACTAGTTACATCAACTCTGTTTTTAACACACAGACACATATTTACATAACCTTTCCATTTCATTTTCCATTTTGGCTTTTGCTTGTGAGTTAATAAACTGATCATCGATAGTTTGCTTACAATTTATATATATTTACAGATACTATTTTTCTAAACCGAGGATACCCTTCACAAATTTGCTGATCTTCAATAATTAAGGAACACAAGAAAACTAGCTTCAAACTAATATATTTTAGAAACAAGTCATAAATATATCATCCAGTATAGTATTTGATTTATCTCTAAGAGTTAGTCAATAAAATTACACCCAAGAATTTGTTTCGATTTCTCTATTTTCTTTTTTTGATTGAGATCTATCGATTACCTTTACCCCATCTTAGCCACACTCATACCAATTTTCCAACGTTGCAGTTTATAAGAAAATCAAATAAAACCCAAAGCAAACCTGCTTTAAATGGTAAGAAAAAGGAAAATACTGTAACAGGTGGTAAACCTGATTCTGTAGACCAACCAAAGAAAAAATCTCTGCATTTTGAAATTGATAACAAGAATGTTGCTATTAGAGACACCAACAGCGATAATTCAATCGATTTATCTTCAAGAAATGAATCTAATAACTCCTCTTCTATAATTTCTAAAGATATCACATCATACCCATCATCTTCTCCAGTAATCAATTCAAATGGTTTGACCAATGAGTTCAATTCAGAGGTTCAACGTGAAAACCAAGAAAACAGAGAAAACGATAAAACTTCATACCCATTAAAAAAAGTACCGCACGATTTATCGAAACATGAAAGAATGTTACTACGTCCATGCTTATCAAATAAAAATATAGTACAACCGCAATTACCATTGAATGATGATACAGTTCTCTATAATAATACCAACAATAATTCTCATTTGGAAGACACCAGTAACAATAACGATATTCATACAGCACAAAGAAAAAAGAGAAAACATAGGCATAAGGATAAAGGACCGATATCTTTAGCTATTTTGACGGAGAAAGGAATACTGATCAAATCAAGGAAACCAACAACATCTGAACTGTCCGAGAAAGAGTTGGGAAGAATGTCAAAGGAATTTTCGGCAAGTAGGACGAGCATTTCAAGTAGTGCTACGAGTTTTAGGAGTAGTGTAGACAATAACAGTTCTTTTGAAACCGCATCATTGATCAGCTGTGTTACATGTTTAAGTGATGACGGAGACGACGACACATCTTCAAATTCTTCGGTAGACACTACAAGCACTCAAAACCATAAATTTAAAACCGATATTAAGAATTCAAGGAAGAATTCGACTAACTATAGTTCAATGAATGGTCAATTCCCAACAAACACAGTGATATCCTATGATAGAATCCTAAATGCAGGATCTGTAGAAAACGAAGAAAGAATTAAAACAATACCAGTTCAAATGAGCCGTCTTCCTAACCAGCATATTATTGAAATAACATTCGCAAAACCAACTAGGCACGATGTCAAACCCAAATCATTGACTTTGGTCATTGAGAATAGTGGTACAAAACAAGAAGTAATAGAAAAAATTTTAAGCAGGAGTTACAGAAACTCAAAACGCCAAAGATCCATACTGGTCATCATTAATCCATTTGGAGGCAAAAAAAATGCAAAAAAAATATTTAAGAAGAAAGCAAAACCATTACTTCTTGCTAGCAATTTTAAAGTCGATGTAGCTTATACAAAATATCCATGCCATGCTGTAGACATCGTCAAAAATATAGATATAAACAAATACGACACAATTGCATGTGCATCCGGTGATGGTATCCCACATGAGGTAATTAATGGGTTGTTTCAAAGACCAGATCGTGTTGAAGCGTTCAATAAGTTAGCGATAACAGAAATACCATGTGGTTCTGGTAATGCCATGAGTGTATCATGTCACTGGACCAATAACCCCTCATATGCAACTCTATTTTTAATCAAATCTGTAGAGAAAAGGATCGATATTATGTGCTGTAGTCAACCATCCACAAGGTCAACATTCCCCCGTTTATCATTTTTAAGTCAAACGTATGGTATAATTGCTGAATCTGATATCAATACGGAGTTTATTAGATGGATGGGACCTGCTAGGTTTGAATTAGGTGTAGCTTTTAATATCTTACAAAGGAAAAAATATCCATGTGACATATATGTGAAATACCATGCGAAAAGCAAAAACGATTTAAAATCTCATTATCTTAAGTACAAGAGGAAATTAGAAGATACCGAAGTAGATATACTTGAGAAACCTGAATTAACAGAACCTGAGATTAGATATATTGGAGATGATGATTATGAAAGCGATATAGAATCTGACGAAACATCAATAACCAATACTTCTGACAATCTTTATTTGACTAACGCAATAACGATACAAGATGAAACGGGTTCAACTGAGACTGATATTAATAATTTTGTTACAGAAAGTGATTTCCAATTGAAATATAAATTCGAAAATGGTGTTCCCGATGATTGGGAAAGAATTGACCCACATGTTACAAACAATCTTGGTATATTTTATTCAGGCAAGATGCCCTATGTCGCAGCCGATACAAAATTCTTCCCTGCTGCATTACCTTCCGATGGATGTATGGATATGGTTATTACAGATTCTCGAACACCATTCACAAGGATGGTTCCTATTTTATTGGCTTTAGATAAAGGATCACACGTCTTACAACCTGAAGTTCTTCATTCTAAAATTTTGGCATACAGATTGATCCCAAAAAACTCCGACAAAGAAATTAGTAGTAATAGTTATAGGGAGGGTACACCAGATTCTGCTGATAATTTTGATGACATTTCAAGTCCGAATGGGCTCTATTCCATTGACGGGGAAAAATTTCCTTTGGAACCATTACAAGTTGAAATTATGCCAAAATTATGCAAAACACTTCTAAGAGATGGCAAATACGTGGACACTCAATTTGATAAGATGTGAATGAAGTAATAGCCTTTCATTTTATAAAGAAGAGTTATTATGATATTTTTCAATATATTATTGACCGTTTATATATATTTTAATATGTTTTATATATTATGAAATATTACATGCATTTATGATAGTAATGAACTACAGTAAGTTTGTTTAAAGCATTAGGGGAATGAGAAAAACTCAAATCCAAAACATACAAAACCAAACAGATAAAGTTGGAGAAGGTAAATAAAGAATGGTTAAAATAACATATGCATTCTTGAATAGGAAACGGCCAATACATTAACATTGACAGCCACCTTGTTCCTGTTCATCAGTGGTAGAGATATCTATGACACCTGCTTTAGTAGCGCCATTTGTTCCTGCAGCATTATCATTTGTCTTACTAGCTGCTCCAGTAGTTTCGTTAATAATGTTTGAATTCGACTCTTGAAATTCAGGTAATGATTTTGCTATTTTCTTAAATAAATTCTTTACATTGTATCCAGCTTTTGTTGAGGTTTCCATAAATATTTTAGCACCTAGTTTTTTAGCCTTCTCTTGACCTTCCTCTATAGTGACTTGTCTTTCATCTGTCAAATCATTCTTGTTACCAACAATACAAAGTATAACATTCTCTTCACCTCTTTCATTTTTCACATCTTCAATCCATTTATCTATGAAATCAAATGATTTCTTCTTAGTAATATCGTACACTACAATAGCAACTCTGGAGTCTCTAATATATGAAGGAATTAAAGATCTAAACCTTTCTTGTCCAGCTGTATCCCATAATTGTAATCTAATAGTCTTATCATCCAAATACATTGTCTTTGATAAGAAATCTATACCAATAGTAGCTTGGTAATGGTCATCAAAGGTATCATACATAAACCTTGTTATTAAGGAAGTCTTACCTACACCTTGTTCCCCTAGGAACACAATCTTATATTTACTCAGAGTCTTTCCAGACTTTTTGGTCTGTTGTGTAGCACTTGGCGTTGTACTCATTTTTTATTATGTTGATTTATACTGAACAGGAATAGAGGTTATATTAGGGCGATGTGATATACGTATCTCAAAACAAACAAATAGAACTAGCAGATAGTAATAAGATTTTCAAACAATTCACGTTGTTAAAGCCTGTTAAATCCAATCTTATTTCCTAATTTCAACAATGGAATCTGTCAAAGTTTGTTTGTTGGTCTTCTTCTATAGCTTCGTCTCTTTGAAATTCGCTTTCAGTTTGACTAAGAAAATAAATAATACTTGTTACCCTCTGTTGACCATACAAAAAAACATCGATAGTGGTAAAAAAAACACTTTTAATGGGTGAACGTTGATTGATTAAGTATGTATAAATGATACATAAATGATATATAGTAGAATATACGGACGTTGGAAAAGATCTATTTCTTACCAGATTTCTTGATACCACCACCAACTAATGGCTTACCAGCCTTGATATTTTGCATCATAGCCTTCTTAGCGGCGGCATCTGCCTTTTGCTTTTCCTTATAGGCCCTTTCCTCTGGATCCATATCATCATTTTGTTGCTTCTTCTTCTGCTTTAGAGGTTTTAATTTACCACCTTGACGACCGGACATGATGTATTAATTGTTTGTTGTGTATCCTCTCTTTTGCAAGTAAAGTATATCTTCAATACTAAACAAAAGGGTCATGTCAAAGAAATATAGTAATTAGTAGTTATGTATATGTGAAATTTTATGTAATAAATTTCACTGGCAAAAGCATTATTTTTTCCCAGGCATTTCGTTTTTTCCTTTTCGCAACGTCAACGGGAAGCAACTCGTATTCAACGATTTAAATTTGAAGGTATATACCCATAGTTATATTACAGATTCAAAGATATCATCGTTATAGATAAAATAAAAAAATTGACAGAACAAATAGTAGTATTTCATTCTTAATTATTAGTAGATGTAAATTAAAAAAAAGTTTTTTAAAAAAGAATCTTCCCCGCCAGGACTCGAACCTGGAATCTCCTGGTTCGTAGCCAGACGCCGTGACCATTGGGCCACGAGGAATAAGATTTTAGAATTTGTTATATCTAAAACTGTTGAAAACATAATATAAGAATCTAACAATAGAGCGACCCCTTAACTGTTAAACAGAGTTGCTGTTAAACAGAGTTGCTGTTGTTAAAGTGCTCATCTTTTGTGCATAGTAACGTTGTTAAACAGAGTTGCTGTTGTTAAACTGCTCATCTTTTGTGCATAGTAACGTTGGACTATGTAGGTCCAATAAACCCAATGTAGGGGGAACGAATACTACATTATGCAGTATATATCAGGTGTTATTATATATACGACAGTGCAGCACACTCTAAATTCTACTTATATTAGCTACCTTCACCTTCAGTTAGGTTAAGCTAATGTTAGCCTTTTTAGTGCTGCCGCTACATATTCAACAGTTTCTGTTGTTAAACTTGATGGGAATATTGTCGGAAATATATTAAAAAATGTAGAGAATCTGAGATAGAGTGTTTGCCTCTATTAGTCTCTTCAATCTTTACTTTATTTAATTCGGACATTTTTTAATATGATAATCGATCGGTCTCTTTATATTATATATAATTTATAGAACGAATAGAATCTAACTTCCAATGTAAGTTCAGAATTCTTTGTCTTTATATATTATTTAATTTTACCAATATATCATTTCTTCTTGCTACCTAAACGATTGATATCTATGAGCTGAAGCAGACATAGTGTGGTTAGACTTATATTCGTTCATTATTAAAGGTGTTAGGTATAGAGGTGAATGGTGTAGCTTAAGTTTTAATGTTAGGTAAGCAAAATATAATTGTTATATTTCTCTTCTATTTGTAAGTGATTATTTGTCTTGTATATAATTTATAGAACGAATAGAATCTAACTCAGAATGTAAGTTCAGAATTCTTTGTTTTTATATATATTTTTATTCCAATATCAATTGAGGTTCGAATTATGTTTTGTTTCATAATACGATTAACTTTGTTTCATAATGCCACATATTTTGTTTCATAATGCCACATATTTTGTTTCATTTTTTAACATGCTTTGTAATACATTTGAGATATCTCAATTTCACATAATTTCCGTCATACCACCCATATCTTGAATGTTCTAATTTATCCAGTGTGATGTGTGTTTCAAAAATCTTTTGTATGACAATGGCTTTGTAAGTATATCTGCCATGTTGTCTTCAGTTTTGATGTATTCCATGTGTAAACCTAGTTTTTGAACTTCATCTCTAATTCTCATAGCCTTAGTACCAAAAAATCTATTTCTGAACTTTTTATCATCTTCAGATTTAGCAATGTTTATCGTTGATGTACTGTCACATTTGATTTCTGGAATTATCGTTTTTTTGCTTATTTCAGGGATCAATTGTCTTAAACTGTCTAACATTGGTATAGCACGACTAACAGCATAAATTTCAGATTCAGTGGATGATGTGCATGTGAGTTTCGCTCTTGATGATGATCCACCAATAATCTTGTTGTTTAATTTAATGAAGTAACCGACTTGAGAACCATAACCATCTAGATTTGCAAAAGCAGCATCAGTAATAGCTTGTAAATTGTTCGTATTTTCTTTTGTAATTTGCCAGGTTAATTTCTTGTCTTTTGTGTCCCATAGATATTGTATCATTAATCTTGCTAACTGTTTTACTTGACTACTTGGATATAATGTATGTTGAGCCAAAGTGTTCACATAGTAAAGGATATCGAACCTATATTTGTAGGCTATATACGATGCCAGGCCAATTATCCTTTGTAACCATTTAACGTCTTTTTTATATTTATCTTCAGTAGTTTCATAATTTTTGTCAGTAATAACAGTACCCGGAGGTGCAGGAGCTTTAATAGGTTGTCCAGAATGATTAAGTGGAACATCCAACGTAGTTAGTTTATTTTCAAGTGACTTTTCCATACCTATTACCATTTTATTTCCAACTTGATATTCTATTTCTAAACCTAAAATGTCGTAATACACATAACTTTGTTTGTCCGGAATACCTGGGTTAACGATCTTGGTATCGAATTTTTTCTTTAGTTCAGAGATGAATTCATTAGCATCTTCTAGATTTTGTGATGTAATTATCATATCGTCAACGAATAGACATACAGTTAATTTTTCGTTTTTAAAAACGCATGACCAGCCTTTAACTTCTTCTAATTTGCATTTAGTAATTAAGTATTTCTTAATAGTGTTATACCAATTTGCACCAGATTGTTTTAAACCATATAGTGATTTTTGTAGTTTCATTACTTTTCCTTTCTTTGACATATGTGGCGGAGTTCTAATGTATAGTTCTTCAGATAAGTCAGCATATAAGTAAGCGGATGAAATATCAAGTTGAACAACATATTTCTTTGAATCTAAAGCAATTGCTAGTGTTGACATTAGTGCATAATGATGTACAGTATTGGATATAGCATCTTCATCGTAAGTACTTGGATGTTGTTGATCACCTCTAGCCACAAATCGACATTTTTTAGAGCCATCTCTTTTAGTAGTGAATATAAACATGGAGTTTATTATTTTCTTTTTTGGAATATCATTGGAATCATGTAATTTGGATGTTTCCCATGTATTCATTTTAAGAAGTTGGTTGATTTCTTTATCATAAGCGGCTTTAAATAACGTACGTTCACTTTGTGATTTGTTATGTGTAATAGCATCAAAATAGTTTAACGATGGATTGATATGTTTTGTTTGTAGAATTCGTTTTGATGCCTTCAAGTATTTAACTCTTTGTTTTCGAGTCTTTGGTAATTCTGTGTCGTATTCTTCTTGATCCTTAAATCTATTTTTACTATCTTGCTTAGTTTTATATGTTCTTAGTGGATTTTCTTTAATTCTGTCTGAGATATTCCTTTTCTTTGGATTATTGTAAATTGATAGAGATGGAATTTTATCCTTTCTCATTGAGTCAATTTTTTCTCTACCACCCAAACTAGGTAAGATATTGTCGTTGTTATCGGTGTGTTCAAGGGCATCAACAATGTTATTAGTGGTATCATTTTCTATATCATTGGCTTGGAAAATATCATTTGGTTCATCAATATCATCATTGTTGTCAGTTTGAGTATCATTTATGAGATCATTCGTTTGGGAAATATCATTTGGGTCATTAGTATTCTCATTATTGGATTCATGTTTGCCATCATTTGAGTTGTTGCCAGCTGTAGTACCAACATTAGGTGAGTTAAGATCGAGTATGTCTTCTAGAGCATCAAGTGGAATGTCATCCAGTTCGTTGTCTAGAGGAGTTGGGATACCACCCATAGCAGCAATATGTGAGACAGGAGATTCATCACCATCTATATCATCATCATCATTATTTTGGTTGGAAGTTGCGATGTTTGTCGTGTCTGTCGTATCATTTACCGGTAATATAACATCAGTAGTATCTTCATATAAAGAAATCAAGTCATCAAATGCGGATTGTTGTTCAGGTGTTTGGTCGTTGGTAGAATTTTTTACAAGCGAATAATTGGCAGTGTCAATGGTCTGTTTATTGGCAGGAATATAAATTAAATAACCATGAGATTCCTTGGAAGGAGATAGAGCAAAACCTGTAATACCTCTGGGATGTAACTTGTTCTTAACCTTGTGATTGTGAACTACTACTTCTTGACCGAATGGTAGAATAGTACTAGCATCTAAACCAGCGAGTCCCGCTTTGCCGCGGGGTGAGAGGTTGTTGGTAGAATTTATAAAAGCGTTTCTCATAAGAGTGGCAAATTCTACAGCATTAAACCATAAACTGTTTGGAAGATGACTAGCAACTAGTAGCGTACGACAATCATTTAAGAAGGTGAGATTGCTTCTTTCAGCAACACCATTTGAGGATGAATCACTTGTGGAACTATAGATCGGGATGATACCATGTTTTTGAAAGAAATCGAGCATGTCGGAGTTAGTGTATTCAGACCCACGGTCCATATGAAAAGATAAAACTTTTGTTTGGAACTGGGTGTGAATTTGTCT